AGTGAGGAAAATGGTCTAGAACCTGAGCTGTCCAATATGGTAGCCACTAGCCACACAGGGCCACTGAGCATGTGAAATGTTTAAGTTTAGTCATACATGGCTACTGCAGTGGACACTGCCCTTTTAGACCATCTGAGAAATGGTTGTACAGTACTTGCCTGTTAGTTCTTGCTTTGAAAGAAGAAAGAAATAATAAATTAGCACAGAATGCTTGTGTTCAGGTTTACATAGCACTTTCTTATAGAGTGTAGACACTGACAGCAAGTGCTCTGGGATAGGCAAGTCTGGGTGGGCATCTTCACCTGAAGTCACTGTGGCCTCAGTTTCCTCATCTGTAAAATGGGGATATTATATCCTCTTCATAAGAAATTTTAACAATAAATATAAAGCATTTAGCACAGTGCTCAGCACACAGTAAATACACAGCACGTATATAATTGTTATTATTGCTGTTATTACTACATATTGCTATGTATTGCCATTCAGTAAGTCCTTACTTAACATCATTGATAGGGTCATGGAAACTCTGACTTTAAGCCAAATGGCTTACTGTATAGCAAAGCCAATTTTACTCTAGGCTAGTTTATATAGACAAGAGCTAGGTTTCTACGGCAGACAGTGCTTCTTTTTGCTTAAAGTATCCAGGAACCTATCTATGTTCCATGAGGGCTTACTGCATATCATCAAAACTATTATGATCACTGCTCTTGTTACTGTTCTTATCATCATCATCATCATTATCATCTCTGATAATGCCAAAAGGTAACTACGAAATCGCCACTTTGCAGATGAGGAATGTGAGTCTCACAGCAGCACTGAGCACCAACTTCAGGAAAGCAGAGGCTCGGGCATGCTGAGGGCTCTATCCCCAGGAGCCTCACAGAAGCATCAAGAGAACCCAATGAATAGCTTCGTCTGGTTGTCGTTGTCTGAGAGACGGTCTTGTTCTGCCATCCAGGCTGGGGTGCATGGTGAGATCACAGCTCACTGCATCCTCAAACTCCTGGTTTCAAGCCATCTTCCTGCCTCAGCCTCCTGAGAACCTGCGAATACAGGCACGTGCCATCACACCCATCTAACAAAAACATATATATATATATATGTTTTAAAAAACAGTACACATCATAACTATAACTCTTGTCATAAGTTGCTTTGAATAAATAAAAGCCAATATATATATATATATATATATATATGGAAATGGGGTCTCACTATGTTTCTCAGGCTGCTTTCAAATTCCTGACCTCAAGCGACCCTCCTGACTCCACCACCCAAAGTGTTGGGATCACAGGCATGAGTTTATTTGACTAACGCGTCTCCTAACTCAGAATTCCAAGCCTGCAATTTCAAAGCTATAGTAATTACACAGGGTAACAGATAATGTTACCTCGGATCTGGCTGATTTTTTGTTGTTGTTTTCTACAAATTCCTTGACCTTGGGACACACCCAATCCATTGAATTTGGCAACACAACCAACCTAAATTACTGCTGTTTGGTATTTGAAGTAAAATAACAAAATGACACTATTAGCATAATGAAATGGTGAAAATGATTGAAGGATCCCATTCTGAAATACTGTAGACACTTATCTTTCCAAGGGGCAGGGCAGTTTCTTTCATCTCTAAGTCTTGGGACATCCGATAAGGCTTGCTGCTGAGCAGTGATTCTCAGACTTGTTGGTATTGGGACTTTACACATTTGCCAATTATTGAAGGCTCCAAAAATCTTTTGTTTGTGCTGATTATATTTATCAACATGTACTCTCTTTAAAGGTGAGAATATTTTAAAGTGTCTATTAATTCATTTTAAATAGGAATAACAATGCCATTTCATATTAACATAAACAGCATACTTTATGAAAACTAAATAAACTAAAACTATTTTCTAAAATTAAAAAGTGAGAAAAATGGCATTTTTTACATTTTTGTGAACCTCATCTATGTCTGAGTTAATGGAAGAGCTGGATTCTCAAGTCTGCTGGATACATTAAATCTGCGGCAACACCACACTTCCTGTCACCTTGAAAAACCTCATACACAATTGTGAGAAAATGAATAGAAAAGGTAAATAATATCTCAGTATTACTATGAAAATAGCTCTGACTCTTATGGACCCCCATAATGGTTCAGTGACCCCAGGGATTCCCTAGTCCCCACCTTGAAAATCACTTGGGAATAAAAGGCATTCCGGCCAGGCACGGTGGCTCATGCCTGTAATCCTAGCACTTTAGGAGGCCCAGGCGGGTGGATCATGAGCTCAGGAGATCGAGACCATCCTGGCCAACATGGTGAAACCTCATCTCCACTAAAAATATAAAAATTAGCTGGATGTGGTGGCACATGCCTATAATCCCAGCTACTCAGGAGGCTGGGGCAGGAGAATAGCTTGAACCAGGGAGTCGGAGGTTGCAGTGAGCCAAGATCGTGCCACGGCACTCCCACCTGGTGACAGAGCAAGACTCTGTCTCAAAAAAAAAAAAAAAAAAAAGGCATTCCCAGTGGGCATCAAATGAAGAAATTTAAAAAGGTAAAATCCCTGCCCACAAGAACTCACGGTACAGCAAAGGAGACAGACAAGCAGCCCAAACAACGTGGTAAACGTCCTCAACAAGAGATGTCCCAGCATAGGGGGACAAGAGACTTGGGATATGCCACGCCCCTCCTACATGCCAGCCACACCCATGATGATTCCTCCACCTGGGATGTTCTCTCCTCACTCTTTCCCTGGCTAAATCTACTCATCCTTCAAGTCTCGACTGATCCCAGACTAAAGGCCTCCTTCCTCCACCCTCTCTCACTGCTCCCCATAATCCTCCTCATGGCAATCACTGTGCGCAATTAGGCATTGGTCTCCCAGCCCCCTGCACACATCATGGGACTTAGCAAAGGTGCAATAAATACCTATGTAGATATTGAAAGAATGAATGGATAGATGGAAGGAGGGAGACATGAAGGCATCAAATAATTACAATAGGAAGGACGAACCCATGCCTTCAGGAACCGTGCTCTGGAACTAGGCCTTACACCATTGCCCAGAAGAGCAAGCAGAGACCCTGAGGGCTGTGACTTGCCTCAGGCCCAAGAGGGAGTGGCCATGGCAGGGGCACACATGGCCCAAGCTCTTTCCTATACATTGTGCAGAAGGGCTGTCCAAGACAGGCCCAGATTGATGGAGGAAGGCTGGCCACTGGGACAGCTGAAATGGGCTGCGCTGGGCCAGAGCCCAGGGGAGGCGCTCAAGACACCAAGGGCACGAACACAGATGCTTATTCCCAGGTTCCTGCAAAGGCAGAGGCGGCCCTTGAGGGTGAGGTGTTCTAGGCACACCGTGGTCCTAGACGGCTTCAGGCCCTTCCCAGTAGGCACCAGTCTCCCTTCAGGCAGGGACCACCCTCAGCACCACTGCTGCTGACAAGAGATCAGTGCGCACCAGGATCTTCTGACACTGGCTTCCCAGAAGAAGAGCCTGTGCTAAGCAGGTGAGGCCAGGCATGCGGGCTCTGAATTGGGGGCCAGGGAATGCAGCTCCCTGAGTCCTGGTTTTGTCACCTGCAAAATAGGCCAGATATTCCCACCTCAAAGGGCAGATGCAAGTGAAAAGATCCAGGAAACATGTTCTGTCATTGGACTTTTGAAAGCTCAGGACACTTACATGACATTTCTCCAGTGAAAACCTAAAGACAGAAAGGGAGCAGGGTCTCTCCCTTTTTTTCTTTTTTTTTTTTTTGAGACAGAGTTTCACTCTTGTTGCCCAGGCTGGAGTGCAGTGGCACAATCTCGGCGCACCGCAACCTCTGCCTCCCAGGTCCAAGCGATTCTCCTGTCTTAGCCTCCTAAGTGGCTGGGATTACAGGCATGCTCCACCATGCCTGGCTAATTTTTGTATTTTTAATAGAAACGGGGTTTCTCCATGTTGGTCAGGCTGGTCTCGAACGACCGACCTCAGGTGATCCACCCACCTCGGCCTCCCAAAGTGCTGGGATTATAGGCGTGAGCCACCACGCCCGGCCAGGAGCAAGGTCTCTTTTAAGAGACTAAACCTCTACAAGTGTCACAAGTGTCCTGGGGTACAGAACATGGCAGGACAGGACCCACTGCCCTGGGGAAGAGCTGGGAGGACCCCAGGGCAGCATCAATGGGCCAGTCCACTGGCCAGGGCAGTCCTGGGAATAGAAGTCTGGGTGTGCTGCCAGAAGCAATAAAGTTGGGGAGGGGAGAGTGCCAGCAGGGGAGGAGAGTGGCGGGGTCTCTCCCAGGACAGACCACCCCAGAGGTCTGGGGGGAAATGGATGGGAGACGTGGGAAAACCACCACCAAGGGCTGGAGGTGAAATGGTGGGGCCTGAAGCCAGGAGGTGGCCGTGCGCAGGGAGGAGGGGCAGACCTCTGAGCTGAGAAAAAGGCACTAAGACTGATGACCAGCTTTGCAGGGGGAGGTCAAGTCTAGGTCGACAGCCAGGAATCTACGCCTTTCCAGTTTAGGACCACAAAGGGAGGGCCAGGTGAAGTAGGAAGTGGCTAAATCCATCAGCCAGGAGAGTGCAGTCAGCTAACAGTCCAGCCCAGAGTCCCCACTTTCAACAGCCACTGCTGCAATCTCCCAGTGCTGGCCTCTGCAAGGCGCTCCGCATGCGTGAACTCATCTAACCCACTTCCACCCTCCAGGGTGGACGCCAAGACGGCCCCGTTTCACAGATCAGGAAACAGGAGTGACCTGCCCTAGGCCAAAGCTCCTCAACTGCCGAGCAGGATTCGAACCCGGTCACCGGTGAAGTCCAAGCCCGCAGCTGCCACACCTGAGGAAGGTCTCCAGTTTCCCTCGAAGCTTTCTGGACAAGAGACAAGAGCCGGATACACCTAAGGGCCGCGAGACACCCTATTCAAATCCTGCCCTTCCTTCCACATTCTTTGTGCAGTACTAAGGGGCCTCCCGCCACCGCCGGTGTAGACGGAGCCAAGCCCAGGGAGTCGGACAGGAGCCTGGGGGCGGGTCCTCCTTACCTGCGTGCTGCTCTCGGGCCCCGCCCCGCTCCCTAGGCCGGGCCCAGACCCCGGAGCCACCGGAGCGTCCCGGGGTTGCTGCGCGCCGAGGGGGCGCCAGCGGGGACCTGAGCTGGCGCCGACACAGCCTCGGCCCCCTGGCGCCAGCGCCACCGCCAGGAGGCCCCCGGCCAGCACCCACGTGGCGCGCTCCCAGGAGCCCGCGGGGCCCATCGCCTGCGGGGACCCACAGCCTCCGAGCGGCGGGCGCCGCCGAGTCGCCGCAGCTTCCGGACCCCGGGCCCGCCCCGCCGCCGAGCATGCTCAGTGCGAGCCGCCGCCGAAAGTTTTCTGGAACAAACACCCGCATCTGGGGCTCGGCGAGCTGGAGGTGCCGGACGGGCGTGGGAGGGGGAGAGCGGGCTGGAGCGGCCCGGGGTTTGCTCGCGCCCAACCCAAATCAGGGCGGGTCACTCCCCTGCTCCCCAAGGTACCGGGGCCTCCAGGGCCCCTCCGCAACAACCTACCCGGGTCTGTGAGCCTCAGCTCAGACTCACTTCCCCTGGAAACCCTTTCCTGACACAGGGGTCTGAATCCGGAGTTTCCCCATCCCCGCTTAGAAAACGGAGAAGCGTTTGGAGCGCGGTGCCAGGAGTCGCGGAGCAGCCGGAGGGTTCAGGACGGCTCGGAGGGGCGGGAGAGAAGGAAAGCACCCTCACTTCCGACTGCGTTCAGTGCGGGGCACCCACTGCCCGAGCCCGCTGTGGATCAGCCCTGGGCCTGTCCGGGTGCCCCTCGCATTCCCAGTGGGAGACAGTCGGGCCAGCCACTGGGACACTTCTCTGGGGACCTAGAAGAGGGGAGCTGGTGTCTGAAGTCGCAGCCCTGAGCAAGCTCTCCCTGAACTCTCTGTGGGCACAGAGGTTTGCTTTGCCAAGGGAGGCAGGAGGAGGAAGACACTGGAAGGAGGACTGGTGGAGCCTTTTGTCTGCTCCTTATCCCGCTTAGGTCCTGGGTGACAGCTGAAACGTGCTGACGGGAGAAGGCTCCACTCCTGCCAGCCTTCCTGCTGGGCAGCCGGTTAGGCTGTCTAAAGTCTCAGGCCAGAGAGCCTGGCCCCTGGCAGCCTCTCTCCCCATAACCCAGACCATCCAAGGACAGGCCTTTCCTGACCTAGCATGGACAAGGCCACGGGATTTGAGAACCTGAGAATTTATAAGCCAAGTTCCCCACACCAGGGGTTACCAGGCAGCTGTCAGCATGAGACAAGGCCACAGGCTAAATGCCAGGCAAGTTGCTGGACCATCACTGTCACTTAACAGTCAGTAATTTAAAGGTTAATTGAATAGTCAAATAACTTTATGATAAAGTAAAATGCAAATAACCCTACATTTAAAAATTCTTCTTATTGCTATTTTTTATAGAGTCAAGACCTCACTATATTGCCAAGACCGGTCTTAAACTCCTGGGCTCAGACAATCCTCCCACTTCAGCCTCCCAAAGTGCTGGGATTACAGGCGTGAGCCACCACACACCACATTTTAAAAACTAAAGCCTACGCATTGATGGAAATACCCTGCGTAGTATTCACGGAAATACTCATAAAGCAAGAGCATCAAGTTATTGTGTCCCCAGGAACCCTGGAGATGCTTCTAAGGAAATATATCAGAAGCTCCACATAGCAGAGAGTTTGCCCTCAAGCCAGAGAGACACAGGTGTAAATGGGACAGGATTTCTGTCCCACTCGGTAACTTCGAGAGGTTAAATGAGTCACCTCTCCTCTCTGTCAGTTTCTTCATTTATAAAGAGGATGAAGAATTTGGATTACAGTTCCCATGTTGCCATGAGGAAATGATGACATAAACTAGAAACAAGCTGGACATTCAGGGGGAAAAGACAAAGCTCTTTTCTGCTGAAGCAGATCCTCATGGTGTCCGCGAGCCCAGCCCGCACAAGGAATTAAGCTCCACAGGGTAGGAGTGTGTGTGTGTGTATGTGTGTGCACGTGTGCAAGTGTGCATTCGTGTACACGCATGTGTGCTTTACCCAGGCACCCCGGATGAAAGCAAACATCTAATAGCTACTCCATAAATGTTTGCTTAAAGCGAACGCAGGGTGATTAACTCATCTAATTGTTTATCCCTCTAAACAATTGTGAGATGTTCAATGCCCCTGATACCGTTTCGTTTGTGGCTGGCCTATCCCCCCACCCTGCAACACTCACTCAGCAGATTCTCCCCAAGTGCTGACTAAATGATGATGGTGCAGTGCCCTGGTCCTAGCAGGGACTGGGTATAAGCGTCTCTCTATCTATCCATCACCCTAGGGAGACTGGGCATAACGGTCTCTCTATTGTCTTGACCTTCCCTGGGAGAAAATAAGATTAAAACGGGAGTCTTTGCGTGAGCAAGTTCAGAGGTGCGGAGGGTGGTGTGGCCCCGGGAAGGTTGATGGGTAGAGGTTAGGGACAAGGGCAGTGGGGTGGACGTGCATTGGTCCCAGCGCCATCAGGAGGATGGGCGGAGCACCCACCTCAGAGGGTTATGGAGAAAGTTAATGGGATCGTGACGCTAAATGCTTGGCATTTTCTAAACCTCAATAAAGTTAAAGGAGCAACCCCTTCCTCGGTGGTCGGGGTCCCTCTTTCTCCCCAGGAACCCAGGAGTCCCCGTGGAAACCCGGCTCCCTCAGGAAGGGTCCCGGGCTGGGAGGCGAGCCCCTCGCTGGGCATGCTCAGTGCAAGGGCAGGGCTGGGGCGGGGGTGGCTGAAAGTTTTGGGCGGTGATCTAGGCTCCTCCCTCGGGCTCGGCGAAGCTGGGAAGGGGAAAGCAGCTGGAGCCGGGAGACCTCACAGGCCGGAAAGTGCGGAGCGCGCCGCGCCCCTGAGCCGCCCGGCCTTCGGGTCCCGCGTCGCCGCCGTGGCGGGGACTGTGCACCAGGCGGCGGGATGCGGCGGGGCGGCCGCCTGAGCGTCCCCGATGGCCCGCGGCGGGGCGGCCTGCAAGAGCGACGCGCGGCTGCTGCTGGGCCGGGACGCGTTGCAGCCGGAGCCCGCGCTGCTGGCCCCCGCGGTGCTGCTGGGTGCCGCGCTCGGCCTCGGCCTCGGCCTCTGGCTCGGCTGCCGCGCGGGCCGCAGGGGCCCGCGGCACCAGGTGGGTCCGCCGACCGGGCAGCGGAGGGGAGGCACGGGGCGCGGGGCTTCTCGGTCCCGCGGCCTGGAGCCCAGGCTCTGCGACCCCTTGAGCCTGGTTGGGGACTTTGCGCGCATAGGGGTCCCCTTCTGCTCCTGAAAGGAGGCGGCGGGTGACTAGAGAGCGTTGGCCTGGGGTCCCCCGAGTGCCTGTTCCGTCCCGCTCTGTGTGTGATCCTAGACAGCAGCCCAAACGCGCCACGACTTGGTCTCCTCATCTGCCGCACCCAGGGCTTGGACAGGATGCTGGCCCCGCTCATGGTGGTGGACCGAGGAGGCTGGGGATCCCACGCCTGAATGCCTATTCCTGCTTCTGCCTCTTCCTTCCTTGCGGTGTGGGTTACCTCGGCTGGCCTGAGTCCCAGCTGCCACATTGGGATGCATTCATTCATGCATTCATTTATTCATGCCACAGTAAAAGTTTTCGGCCACCTTCTACACCCAGTCTGGCCTAGGGACTACATTCATGAGCAAGAGAGACCCTGCCTTGCCTGCTTGAGGTTCACATCCTCAAGGAGAAGGACGAGTTGCAAGTTTGCAAGTAAACTTTCGGTTATGACACCGCATGGGGAAGTCTGTGATGGAGCACTGGCAATGCTAGCGTTTGTTAAGTGCTGACCGTGTACCAGGCACTGAGCCAGACCGTCTGCCTAAATGAGCTCAATGAATCGCCACAACAGTTTGAGTTGATTTCATGAATGTCGCTGCTTTGCAGGTGAGGAAACTGAGGAACAGAGTGGTTAAGTAACTTACTAAAGTGACAGACGTATCTAACCCCAAAGTCACTGTGTTTTGCATGGATGAGGGTCTGGTTGGCTGCCTGAATGGGACCAGTGGATGCTTCATGTGCGCAAGCCCTCATGGAATTGACTGTGCATGGCGACACCCGATATCTTGCAGGCATTCCATCAACAGTGGTGTGGCCACTATTTTAGGTTCTCGCAGTTTCTGCCTCTTTGAAAGCGGAGGGGAGGGTAAAGTCTGTGAGTTCAGAAACAAGATGACATAGTCTTGCTGCCCCCATTTCTGGCCCCTGGGAAGAGGAAACGGATCCTGTGCAGGTTCCATGTAGGCACAGGTTCTTTCAGAATGTGGTGACTCATGGTGAGCATTGCCCTATAGAGGGCTAAAACCAAGATAAGGCAAGATGCTTGTAGGTGAATTGAGGGTTGTCAGATCCTGCTGGCGATAAAGTGATGCTAAGAGATGCTGGCTTGTTGGATGGAGCGGGAAAGTGAAGTAACATACAGACTCTGCTGGGTGCCCTATGCAGTGTTTACAGACATCTGGTTCTTTATACTCCAGCCCATGAGGTGGAGGAACTGCCATTATCCCCACTTTACCGTGAGGCAGGGCAGGCCCTGCAGGGTTATTTGTCCAGGGTGCCACTACCAGTAAACAGTGGGGCTGAATCTCAACCCTAGTCGGTTTGAGCCTCAAAGCCAGAGCCTTAAGCATCTGCTACCTGGTGAGGCGGCGGTTAGTATCCCATTTGTTAGCTGAGTCAGCTGAGGCTTACTGGGATGAACCAAGCCATCTGGGTGTGCACAGCTAGTCAGTTGAGGGTGATGGTGGCTTAGAGCAGGGTGGCAGCCGTGGAGGGGTTGTGGCTCAGAGTAGGGCCGTGTTAGGTCAGGCACCTCCCTGCTTTCTGGGCACTCTTTGTTCTCCTCCCCTGATCCAAGTCACAATTTCATCTTGCACTGCTTACCTTTTGTTGTTTTTGTTTTATTATTATTTTAACTTATTTCATCATTAAACCTGTTTTATTTATATCAAAGTTGTTCATGTACATAATTTAAAGTAGTAGTTCAAAAGAAGCAAAAGCCCCACCCATTTTCCACTTCTCAACAATGACCTTGTTAACTCTTTTTTTTCGTTAAAGTGAAAGCAAGTTTATTAAGAAAGTGAAGGAATAAAAGAATGGCTGCTCCCCAGGCAGAGCAGCAGCCTGGGCCCCTCAACTGAATATGTTTGTAGTTAGTTACTCCTTGATTATATTCCAAATGAGGAGTGGATTATTCATTTATAGGGAAAGGCGTGGGCAATTCCTGGAACTGAGGGCTTCCTTCTCTTTTTAGACTATGTAAGGTAACTTCCTGATGTTCCTGGCATTTGTAAACCCTCACTGTCACTTAGCATGCTAATGTATTATAATTAGCATAATGACCTTGTTAACTCTTTCAGCTGATTATTTTGGGAATTTACATCCCACTTCTGGATAATGTGCCCATATTGCTCCTGCTTGCTTTTTTTTTTTTTTTTTTTTTGGCTGCATGTAATAGCCATTGACCCTCCACTGTGGAAAGGAAGGGGAGTTAGCTCTGTCGCCCCCTCTCTTCCCTAAGATGCTCACTTCCCAGCACCACCACCACCCTCCCGATATGGTTATAGGAGAATTTGGCTTAAATTACTATTCAGTGTTTCCATTATTACAATTCTGTAAACATTATTTACTGTAAGTCAAGGATCAGTTATGAATACTTTCTTTTCTCGCACAGCATCTGTTTTTCCTGAAATTAATAATTATCCTTTTTTTTTTGGTTCTTTTTTTATTTATTTGGGACAAGGTCTCATTTTATTGTCCAGGCTGGAGTGCAGTGGCATGATCACGGTTCACAGTAGCCTTGACCTCTTGGGCTCAGGTGATCCTCCTGCCTCAGCCTCTCAAGCATCTGGGATTACAGGCTTGTACCATCATGCCTGGCTAATTTTTTTTTTTCTATTTTTTTAGAGTCAGTGTTTTCCAATGTTGCCCAGGCTGGTCTCAAACTCCTGGGCTCAAGCAGTCCTCCTTCCTTGTCCTCCCAAAGTGCTGGGATCACAGGTGAGAGCCACTGCATCCGGCCTCGGTTTTTTCATTTGCTTAGATTCTGTGTACTTTTCATTCATTTAACTCTATCGCTTATATGTGCCTTTCTGTTCAGGACATTTGAATACATTAGATATTTGATCCATTTTATCTTCTTAAGAAAAACGTCTCTCCCAGAAACGTTCTGCCATGCTCCAGTTTGAGCTGTTGTTCTCTAGACAGTTCTCTAAAGTGTGGACCAGACCAGCAACACCATCATCTTGGGGAGCTTGATCAAAATGCAAATTTTTGGGCTCTGCCCCAGATTCACTGAATGAGAATCTCGGGGTAGGCCCAGCAAGTTGTGTTTAATAAGCCCTCCTGGTGATTGACATGTTCTTAAAGTTTGAGAAGCAGCTGCTCATCATGCTGGGACTTTCTCACAATTCTCCTGCGTTGAATCCTCTTTCAGGGATTCCCCTGCACTCACCTTTCTTTAGCTAATTTCCTTGCATGCCTGGAGCACATCCTTTAGTAGCCTTTTTTAAAAGGGATGGATGCAACTCTTTTGAGGACTTCTGTATCTGAAAATATATTCTTCTATCTTTATACTTAATTTGGTTAGAATAATTAGGTTGGAAATAATTTCCTGCCAGAATTTTGAAGGCATTTTTTCATTGTCTTCTATCTATTGTAGAACTAAACTGGGTGCCACCCACCTGGCACAGTAAGACCAGATTGCCACACTGAGGTTTTGCAGTGGTAAAAAGGAAGGTGTTCATTCACAGAACACCAAGCCAGGAGGACTAGGCAGCTCATGCTCAAATCCTGACCTCCCTGATGACTTGCAGGTGAGGGTTTTTAAAGGCAAAGGTAAATTTCAGGAAAGCAGAAGTTACAGGCAAAATCTTAAATCAATACGTGGAGGTTACAGCTGGTTTTGGCCTAAAAGGGCGGGACATCTTGAAGTGGAGACTTGCAGGTCAGAGGTAGATTCGAAGATTTTCTGATTTGTGATTTTGTCAAGGAAGAGAAGCTCTGTTTTAAAATGTGGGTTCAGCAGGAAAGAATGCTAGCTCAGGCTCCTGGGCATGACTTTCTCTGAGTCCCCCGGGAAGAACTTTCGAACAAAGAATGGTGCTCAGAGTTTAGATCTCAGAGAAGGGGCAGCGGAGCACCTCAACCATGGTTCCTCGGGGTGGATCCCTTTGATGGGGGTCCGGGTTTCTGAAAACAACTCAGAGACATATGTTAATATGTTATCTTCACTTTCTGTAGGGAAGCCAAACATCTCCCGACTCTAACTTCCTTGGCTATTGTTTCAAGCTGCTGTTACCTTCTTGCTTATCAAGTTGCCGATAAATTCCCTTGAAGAAAAGCAGGATTTTCTGTTATTTGCATGCTTAGGGCAGGGGATTTGCAGGCGCCTAAAAAGGAGGGGTTGGGGCCCTGCTTCATCTGTAACTTCCACTGTTGCTGTTGAGGAAACTGATTCTATTCTGATCCTTGATACTTTACACGAAACCTCTTTTCCTTTTGCCCCTCTGTAGAATCTTAAAGAACCTTTTCTTTGCTCCCAGTAAATGAAACTGCGCCAGGATGGTCTTGGTGAAAGTCGTTTGTCACCCACAGTGCCAGGCATTTGAAATGTCCGTTTGATCCAGAATCATTTTCTTGCTTTCTTTGATAATTCTTTTCCTTTGATGATTCTTTCCTTCTTCTGGATGAAGGAGTTCTCTTCTTCCAGAAACTCCTATCATTTTTTTTAGGCTGAATTGGGCTTCTAATCCTAGTCTTCCTCTCTCACTTCCCATCTCTTTGTCTTTTTTACATTACCTTCAGAGAGACTTTTCTCAACTTTATACTTGTATTCGATTTTTTGTATTTTCAATTTTCAAGAGTCCTTTTTTGGTTCTGAGAATGTTCTATCTTGTTCTTATGAATGGAATATCTTCTCTGATCTTTCTGATAATATTATAGTTGTTTATTTGTTTAAGGTTTTTTTCCCCCCTTGCATAGTGTGTTTCCTGCTTGCTTTTTTCCTTTTGTTTGTTTTGGATTTTATCTTTCATATTAGAGTCTGTCTTCAAATGGCTGGTAACCCGCTGGTCATTTTCAAGTGATGCTGGTGCTCCCTCTGTGGGGTAGATATTTTTTTCCCCAATGTTTTTACTGTAGGACTATCTGACTGTTTTTTTGTTGTTGTTGTTGACAGATTCTCGCTCTGTTGCTCAGGCTAGAGTGCAGTGGCACAATCTCGGCTCACTGCAATCTCCGCCTCCCGGGTTCAAGCTATTCTCCTAAGTAGCAGGGATTACAGGCACCTGCCACCACACCCAGCTAATTTTTGTATTTTTAATAGAGACAGGGCTTCATCATGGTAGTCAGGCTGGTCTCAAACTCCTGACCTCATGATCTGCCTGCGTCGGCCTTCCAAAGTGCTAGGATTACAGGTGTGAGCCACCGTGCCTGGCTTTGACTGGGTCCTTCTTTGCAGAACCCTTGTACTGGCCAGCTATGGTTGATAAACAACCCCCAAAATCTCTGGCCTCGTCGTCTATCCCAAGACCCACCCCAGACTGCTGCATCTACACAGGCTTCTCTCCATGCCCAGCATGGGCCTGCTTCAGGACCTTTGCACTTGCTATTCTCTCTCCCTGGAATGCTCTTCCCTGAGATATCTCAATGGCTTGTGGCCTTACTTCTTTTAAGTTCCTTCTCAAATGCCACTTTGTCCAAGAGACTTTGCCTCCCAGCACCCTTCCCAGCCTCCACTGTTACTTTAGAACATGGATCGTCCCTGATTTACCAGGTGTTTTTCTAATGTGTTTGCATCTTTGTTCTCTCACTGCAATGTTAATGCCACAAAAGCAGAAGCTGTGTATTTTGTTCGTTACTCTATTCCCAGTACCTAGAACAAGTCTTGACACAAAGCAGACGCTCGGTGATAGTAGCTGATTAACTCAGTGACAAACTGGTGATATTTCTTTAGTTCAAAGGTTAAATTCATGAGCAGCTAGTGATTAAAGAGGAAGTTAGTAAGTGTCTGGGGTAACAGAATTTTAAATACAATTTATTCTCTTTATCCGTGGTAGTTATGTTCTATAAACTTGCTGAGAACACAGCATTAGTGAACACCGAACTATTGTTCCTAGGGGAAAAACAGCGTTACGGTCCTACAAGCCTCTGGTCACATTTCCATTAACCAGTCAATACATAGCATTGTTTTATGTATGTTTCTGTTTAAAGATATCTTATTTAATACATATTTTTGATTTATTAACATTGGACTTACAGACAACAGCACTGTAACTCATACCTGAATGAAGCTTCTGTAACACGGCCGTTTCTCCAAAGGGCATGCATGTCATAGTCTTCATATGTTTCAGGAGATTAGAGAGCACTACTGCACGGTGCTTGGTGGTGGTTATTTTAAACAGTAAAACCACCAAGAAAAAGCACAGAAATGCAAACACTGTGGTACTAGAGTATGAACAGGATGTCTGTTTACAGCCTCAGAGCAGAGACAAGAAGGCAGAGTCCTGCCTTGTTCCATCTCAGCTGAGCACATGCACGCTGGGCAACACAGATTTTTCAGGCTCTGCATGTGTCCATGAATAACTGTGAAAGACCCATGAGCTTTGGTTTGGGGGTCATAAGTAAATTTTAGCAACTACAGGAATTGGCAAATACAGAATCCATAAATCATGAGCACTCGATGTAGTTCGGAATACAGACTATTCTATAACTTAAGGTCACCTAACATATTTTCTTAAAAACCATTAAATAGAGTGATCAAAATCAACAGGAAAATTAATATGCATGTGCCATTTCCCATGCTTAGTTGTTAAATCCAAGGAACTCCCAGTCCAGCGGGGACCTCACCCTAGAAGAAAGATGGAACGAGCTTTGCTCTGCATCTTGCTCCAAGTCCTGAGGGTGCACTGAGATGGGGCACCCTGGAGGAATTAGGGGGACATCTGCACAGTCTTGAAGGACTTGTAGCAGACCCCATGTGGGGTAGGAGGCATCACACACAGAGGGCCAAGCTTGTGTAGAAGCACAGAGGCGGGTGGAAGTGGCCACTGGACTGGGGGTGTTGACTGGCAGAAGTCACCGTGGGGACCAGGCTGACTGACATCAATGTTGTGTTTCTGTCCACCCCCAACTCCTGGCCTTCCGGTTTTAGAGAGACGACACTCAAAATCTGCTCAGGAATTTGGAGTCTAATGCACAGACCCCCTTGGAAACTGGCTCCCCATTGAGGAGGAGGAAGAGAGAAGTGCAGATGCCGAAGGACAAGGAAGCTGTTGATGTAAGCTTGGTGTTGGTGTTTGTTTGTAGAGGGACCCGTGGGAGGCGGGGTGTCCTCCCTGGCAGCCAGGTATCATGTATACAAGCCTCTGACAGATACATTTTCCCAATCTGCTGCTTTTTTTGAGGCAAATTTACATGCAGTCAAATGCACAGACTTCAAGTTTTACAGTTTGATGAGTTTTGACAATTGCGTACACCTTGGAACTAATACCCCCATCGAGAATCTTTCCATCACCCAGCAAGTCCTCTAGTGCCCCTTTCCAGTCAGCGGCCACTCCCACACACTTCCAGAGGCACCCAGGCATGGGATTTCCTTGGGAGTTTCGCTGTTCTAGAACTTTATGCTAATGGAATTGTGCTGCTCTGCGCCTGTGTTCTCGCCACAAAATGCCTTGAGATGTTTCCCGTTCGTCGTGTGTATCAATAATTCGCCCATTTTTATTGCTCAGTGGCACTGTGTGGATGTGCCATGCTCTGTTGTCTGCTCACCATTTGGTGGGTATTTCATTGGTGGATTGGGCTGTTTTCAGCATTTGGCTGTGTTGAATAAGGCTGCGATGAACCTTGGTGTATAAGTCTGTTTACTTTCATTTCATTTTACTTCCTTTAAGTAAGCCTCTAGTGGTGGGAGTGCTGGGCCTCTGAAAGAGATGTTACAAAAAATTATCCTTGTTCCTGCCTTCCTGGAACCCTTACTCTATCCACAGAACATCGCTTTCTGGGTGAGCCTTATGGTAGAGAGGATGTGACATTTCCAGTCACCTCCTTGTCCCCCAGAAAGCACTGCAGACTTCTTCTGGAATAAGGGGAAAGATTGAACTAGCGTTATGTCTTTGCATCTGCTCATGCCAGGCAGTTTTACACCTCTCACCTGTGAGTGATGCCAACACTATGTGAACGATCTCGTGCCCTTCTCTCAGCAGCCACGTGAGGCTGATCTGATTTATATCCTCCAGATGAGGGAGCGAGGCTCAGAGGTGGTCTGCTCTCCTGAGTCCCGCAGCTGGGGAGTAGCCAAGCTGATAGTTGTCCTTAGGTTTGCCAGGCCCCTGCTTGGGAGTGCTGCATCCCCACACCTGACTCCCAGCCTCTTCCGCTTTCCATCCTGTTCCATTCCATTCCGCAGCCTCAGCTTACCACGGAAGAAAGTGGGTTGGGGATTTCAAAACAGATTTCCCCAAAGGTCTGAAGTCAGTAGGGCTCAGCTTCTAGTTAAGCTTTACAATCAGCTTTTGTGTCAGTCCTGGGTCTCTCTCCTGTGCTGGCGGGATCCCGTGGAGCAGGGCCACCTCCCTGCCCTTGGCTGACATGGAGCCAGGGAGATGTGGGGAAGCCTCTGTTGCTGTCCTGGGACATGACTTGTGGGAGATGAGTTGGAATGAGCAGATCTTTAACTTAACCCGTGGTAATTATTAGCTTGATAATGGACATCTGCTAGGTGTTGCTGAATAGTGAACAGGTAAGACATTAGTAGGCAGGAAAAAAGAGTTAACCTTACGGTGAGGTAGAAAGACAGGGCCCCCTGCAAACACTGACTGAGCACCTATTTAGATGTGCCCTGTGCTCCTCTGACACTGTGCTTGCCTCTCTACATCTGTCTGTGTATGTGTATGTCCTAGTCCTTCACTCCCTCTGTGGGTCTCTGTGTGTCTCTGTGAGCCTGCAGGTGTGTGGCGTCTCCCTGTCTTTGTGTCTCTCTTCCCCTCATTCCTCTCTCTCTCTCTCTCTCTCTCTCTCTCTCTGCTGCTCTGCCCCTGTCCTGCCTTCTCACACTATTAGAATCTACTCACAGATGTGAAAACAGGTGTCCACACAAAAACTTGTACACAAATGTTCAAAGCAACGCTATTCACAATAGCTAAAATGTGGAAACAACCCAAATGTCCCTTGACTGACAACTAGAAAAATAAATGTGATATTTGCAGACATTGGAAGATTATTTGGCTATAAAAAATGAAGAGCTGATCCATGCTACAGTCTGGATGAACCTGGAAAATACACTAAATGAAAAAAGCCATTCATAAAAGACCACACGTTGTAGGATCCTGAGGGAATTTGTTCTCTTTCCAGATCCATGAGGGGGCAAAGTTTTAAGGGCAAAAGTTTCCCAGCGCCATGCACCCCTCCCATCTCTCTCCATCCGAGAAATTTAATGGTTTGTGTTTAAATTTCGGGGGTGCGGGAAGAAACAAAGTCAATCACCCCAGCGGAAGTTTAAAGGAACTCCTTTCAGAGGAACTTAGGAAGGTGGGCATTTCTCCCAGCGTAAATCCCCCTGCTTCTTCACCCGTGCCAAATTTCCAGCTTTCTGGAATCCCCTTCCACATGGTGAGAGCTCCCTCTGGAATTTCCCCTCTAGAATCCCCTTCCGTGCTCTTCGTAGAAGTCTTTCCCTTCTCCTCTTTTCTCTACCTAAGTAAAATCACCTTTCTGCAACACTTCCTGGGTCCGGTATTTACTTTTACCAGCATACGGTGCACCTGCAGTGGTCCCGCCACTTATTCCAAAAACCCACGGCGTTCTCTCAGGGAAGCTGTGCCTCACCGGCGCTCAAGAAAAAACCCGGTTACAATCCCATTCCTGTGAAATGTCTAGAACAGGAAGATTTATACAGACAGAAGGTAGATGAGTGGTTTCCAGGGGCTGGTGCAGAGGAAGGGGAGGAATGGGGTGACAGTGAAAAGAGGACACCGTTTCTCTTTGATGCGATAAAAATGTTCTAAAGTTGACGAGAGGCTGGGCACGGTGGCTCATGGCTGTAGTCCCGGCACTTTGGGAGGCTGAGGTGGGCAGATCACTGAAGGTCAGGAGTTCAAGACCAGCTTGGCCAACATGGTGAAATTCCATCTCTACTAAATACAAAAATCAGCCAGGCGTGGTGGGGCGTGTCTGTATTCCCAGCTACTTGGGTGGCTGAGACAGGAGTATTGCTTGAACCCAGGAGGTGGAGGTCGCAGTGAGCCAAGATCGTGCCACTGCACTCCAGCCTGAGTGACAGAGCGAGACTCTGTCTCAAAAAAATCAATCAGTCAGGTTGACTATAGTGATGGCTACACATATCTGAAGATACTGAAAACTATGAAATCTTATACTTTCGTGAGTGAACTGCAGGGTGTGTGAATTAAATCTCAATAAAGCTGTTAAACAACACTGTTCACACATAGGGCATCCTCAAATATGATGGAAACAAGCTGGCTTTGGGACCTAGAATCCTGGAACCCAGTCCCAGCTCTGCCACGTGTTTGCTGTGTGATGTTGGGCGGGAAGTGTAACCTGTCTGAGCCTCAAGTTTCTTGCTTAAAATGACAGCAGTGATCGTGCTTCCCTACCCCCCGACCCTGGAGTCACCCAGGGCTGAGTTAATGCATGTGAATGTTCCTGCCACAGAATAGGTGCTCAGTGTTTGTAGGGAGTCCTAAGTCTTTCTACCCCGCTGTAAACTTATTTTTTTCTGCCTAGTAATATCTTAGCTGTTCACTATTCGGCTACACGTAGCAGATGCCCATTATCAAGCTAATAATTGCCAAGGGTTAAATGAAAGATCTACTTGTTCCAGTGACTGGCGTGTCAGAATGCTCTTGGCTTTCTGCATGCTGAGCTTGTCAAAATATGTGGCCAGGACTGCTTTGGCCCAATGGATCAAGCTACAACTTTCTTGTCCTCTAGTGCCCAGAAAACCAGGGCTTGTTGGTTCCCGTCACACCTTGGATGACCTCTGTTTAATGAACAACTCATCTCAGCTGAAAACAGAAAATTCCAGAAGGCTCTGAGGCATGCTACTCTACAGCCTCTGTCTCTCCTTCCCATTCCTTTGCTTTGGAGGGAGGGAGAGATGCATATGTGCATCTTTAAGGATGCATTTATGCATTCTCTGAAAAGAATCCCTTTACATTGGCGACAGAAATGGCTTTTCCTTTCCTGCAATTACACTTTAACCAATTTTCTGAATAATCGCATTGCTTCAGCTGAAGAAGTTTTACCTTGTATATTTCGTTACAACCAATTTTCTAAATAATGGTATTGCTTCAGCTGGGGAGACTCTCCGAATTTGGAAGACACCTGACCTTAATGACGAGTGCTTTAAAAAACTAAAGGCAGTGGCTCCTGTTCAGGGAGCAGAGCCTGCTCCTTCCCTGGTTTCAGGTGTCACATGCTCCTGGTCCTTTAATGCCCTGGCAAAGACCATGACCGTCCGTGGCTGGCCCTGCAGGGTTTGCAGTCTGCAGGTAGATGGATCAGGTGGAGGCTTTCCTCCAGCTGGGATGTGTTCCTGATGCGCATTCCCCGGCTCCTCCATCCCCAGGTTCTGCCCTCACAGGTCTCGGGTGGGCCCCGTACCAACATCCTTTTCTTCTTTCTTCCTTCTTTTCTTCTTTCTTCTTTCTTCTTCTTCTTTATGTTTCTGATCTCAGCTCACGGCAACCTCTGCCTCTGGGGTTCAAGTGATTCTCCTACCTCAGCCTCCCAAGTAGCTGGAATTACAGGCACATGCCACCATGCCTGGCTAATTTTTTTTTTTTTTTTTTTAGTAGAAATGGAGTTTCACCTTGTTGGCCAGGATGGTCTTGAACTCCTGACCTTGTGATCCGCCTGCCCTGGCCTCCCAAAGTGCTGGGATTATAGGCATGAGCCATTCCTTGTTCACTGACAAAACCTCAAGAGGAAAGTGGGCCAGAATGCAGGGGGTTGAGAGCAGACCAGGCTCTGTACCCTCAGGTCAGAGGGAGGCCAGGAAGGGTTTTAAAAGGCACATGGATGGAAATTTATGTTTAAAAGATATTTCAATTTCTATGTGGTGAATGAATTGGAAGATGTCAACCTCTGAGCCTCAGTTTGCCCCACCATAAGGTAAGCGTGATAATAATAGTCCCACCTCCCCAAGCTGACTGACATGTGGTAATTAAATGGGCAAGCATGCGTAGGTGGCTGGACATGGTAGACCCTCTCAGTACATGGATGAGGAGCTGCTTAGGAAGCGATTTCAGCCCTTCAGGGTAAATATGGTGGAGGCCTAGGCGAGGGCCATGGGTTCCAGAGAGATTTGGGAGGTTAAGTTGATGGGATTCGTGGTCAGTTGGATGTGGGGACTTGGGATGTCAGAGTGCATGCTACCTCAGTATCCGCCGTAGGTTCCTGAACACGGTGAAGCCAAGCCCAGGGGCCTTCTCTCCGAACCCCCACTTCCCTTTAAGCTTCATGGCACTTAGTCTTGCCCTTATTTGCGTCATGTTGACAGAGCCAGCATGGCATCAGCTGGAGGGCAGACCTGGAGCCGGCAAAGCTGAGTTCAGGTCCCAGTTCTTGTGATGATTGGCTGTGTGGCCTTAGGCACATGGCTTTACCTCTCTGCGACTCATCTTCTGTGTCTGGAAGTGGAGACAGTGACCTCTGTGGCAGGGTCCTGTAGGGAGGTAGCATATGTTGGTGGTCTTCCCCTGTTCTTTTTTTTTTTCCTTGAGACCTTTTTGTTTATTTTTCTTCAACTTTTATTTTACGTTGTGGAATACATGTGCAGGATATGCAGGTTTGTTACATAGGTAAACGTGTGGTGGTTTGCTGGACAGATCAACCCATCACCTAGGCATGGAGCCCAGCATGCACTAGCTCTTCTTCCTGATCCTTTCCCTGTCCCTGCCCCCAAAAAGGCCCCAGTACCTGCTGTTCACCCTGCCCAATGTGTCCATGTGTTTTCATCGGTCAGCTCCTACTTGTGAGTGAGAACATGCGGTGTTTGATTTTCTGTTCCTTTGTCAGTTTGCTGAGGATAATGGCTTCCAGTTCCATCTATGCTCCTGAAAATGACATGATCTTGTTTCTTTTTATGGCTGCATAGTATTCCATGGGGCATATGTACCACATTTTCTTTATCCTATCTATCATGGATGGGTATTTGGGTTGATTCCATGTCTTTGCTATTGTGAATAGTGCTGCAATGAACATACACGTGCATATATATCCAGTATTGAGATTGCTGGGTCAAATGGCATTTCTGCTTCTAGGTCTTTGAGGAATCACTTACACTGTCTTCCACGATGGTTGAACTAATTTACGTTCCCACCAACAGTAAAAGTAAAAGTTTTGCTTTTTCTCCACAGCCTCACCAGCATCTGTTGTTTCTTGACTTTTTAATAATTGCCATTCTGACTGGCATGAGATGGTATCTCATTGTGGTTTTGATTTGCATTTCTCTAATCATCGGTAATGTTGAGCTTTTTTTCATATGTTTATTGGCCGCATGAATGCCTTCATTTGAGAAGTGTCTGTTCATGTCCTTTGCCCACTTTTTAATGGGGTTGTTTTAACTTGTAAATTTGTTTAAGCTCCTTGTAAACTCTGGATATTAGACCGTGGTCAGATGGATAGATTGAAAAATGTACTCCCCTTCTGTAGGTTGTCTATTCACGCTGATGATAGTTTCTTTTGCGGTGCAGAAGCTCTTTAATCAGATTTCATTTGTCAATTTTTGCTGTTGTTGCGATTGCTTTTAGCATTTTTGTCGTGAAATCTTTGCCGGTGCCTGTGTCCTGAATGGTATTGCCCAGATTTTTTTCTGGGGTTTTATAGTTTTGGGTTTTACATTTAAGTCTTTAATCCATCTTGAGTTAATTTTGTATAAGGTGTAAGGAAGGGTCTTCCCCAATTCTTGTCACCCAAGTCTTTTGTGAGTTGTAAGGTAGAGAAATGACAAGAACTGGAGCCCCTGGTATGCAGCCTCCCTCTCGTGTTGCTCACAGGGCATCAAGGTGCAGCTCTCCTTGGACACATTATTTTAAGCTGCAGGGTACATGTGCAGGATATGCCGGTTTGTTACATAGGTAAACGTGTGCCATGGTGGTTTGCTGCACAGATCAACCCATCACCTAAATATTAAGCCCGGCATGCACTAGCTATTCTTCCTTATCCTCTCCCTCCCCCCATCCCTAGGCCACAGTGCTGGCTCAGTGGGGGCTGTGTCAGCACCCCAAATTAGGAGCAAGTGATCCATCCTTCTGTGTTGCCCGCAATAGGGTGTCTTATTCCAAGTTGAACTTTGTGATTGGAAATTGGTCGTGGTAATGGAGCTTGCTCTTCAAGACGTGGTTGAGAAGCACTGGAATAGATGCAGATGCAGTTTTCTTCCATCAGTATGCTCATTGCTCAGAAGAGATTTTTCATGGTCTGCAGCGCCAGGCTGTGGGCTTGCCTGTCTGCTTATCTTCATTCACTATCTCGTGTTTTCCAAAGCACTGATTCAGCACTGACTTTGCAAAGTGCGGTGGTGGGGTGGGGATGACCCAACAGGAGAGAAATGGAGAGGATGTGGGGATATGGGGAAGGCCATGGTTAAGTTCATCCAGCTTCTTTATTTTTTATTTTTTGAGACAGAGTGTTGCTCTGTTGCCTGGGCTGGAGTGCAGTTGGGGGATCTCGACTCATTGCAACGTCTGCCTCCCAGGTTTAAGTGATTCTCCTGCCTCAGCCTCCCGAATAGCTGGGACTGCAGGCATGTGCCACCACACCCTGCTCATTTTTGTATTTTTAGTAGAGATGGAGTTTTACCATGTTGGCCAGGATGGCCTCGATCTCTTGACCTCATGATCCACCTACCTCGGCCTCCCAAAGTGCTGGAATTACAGGCATGAGCCACTGCGCTCATCCCATCCAACTTTTTATTGAGTCAGGGGAGGTGATTCCAGAGTAGGATTTGACAGTGGTGTGTTATACCACTACGCACAGCAACCCACTGATTGGTTTCTTCTCTATTCTAGCAACTCAGCAGGGTGCTTTATGTATGTAGTCCTTGAGGGCAGATCCTCTGCTGATTTACTATCTGGGAAGACTAAGATTCACAGAAGTTAGAAGACTTGCCCAACCACTTACTTTTGTTTAAGGGTCTAATCCAAAATCTTGTTGAATATTATTGCGTGTGTTTATACCTGTGGCAATGCTAAAATTATTTTGTGTGTTTGCTTTTCCTAATTCTTTAGGAGACTCTCTTGTCAATTATTCTCAAGTTATTCAAATCCTTATTTTTTCCAAAGCTGAAGCATTTTGATTAAATTAACATTGTGCCATTCTCTTTTGATAGATTTTTTCATCTACTCATCCATCTCTCCACCTTTTCATTCACCCATCCATGTGGCTGTCCACCCACCCACCAACCCATCTATTCATCTACCCATCCATCTATCCATCCACCCATCTATCCATCTGTCTACCTATTCATCCATCCATTCATCCATCCATCCATCCATCCATCCATCCGTCTACCCATCCATCCATCTGCCCACCTATCCATCCACCCACTCATCTATCCATCTGTCTACCTATTCATCCATCCATCCATCCAGCCAGCCATCTCTCTACCCATCCATCCATCCACCCATCTGTCTATCTGCCCACCCATCCATTCATTCGCTCATCTATCCATCTGTCTTCCCATCTGTCCATCCACTCATCTATCCATCTGTCTACCTATCCATCCATCCACTCATCTGTCTACTCATCCATCCATCCACCCATCCATCCATCTGTCTACCCATCCATCCATCATACCCATCTATCCATCTGTCTTCCTGTTCATCCATCCACTCATCTATCTGTCTACCCATCCATCCATCCATCCATCTATCCATCTGCCCACTCATCCATTCATTCACTCACCCATCCATCTATCCATCCATCTGTTTGTCGACCCATCCACTCATGTTCCTTCTGGCAAGGAAGAGCTTATATGAATCTAAACATGCCTATTATGGTCCCTTTCTGAGGCTGCTCTTACAAATGGGATGTGGCATATTAGAAAAACTTGACAACTTATCCTTCATTTTACAGAAAGTTTCCCATGCCATTTGTGTCTTTTCCTCCCAGGAATGTGAGCCACCTTCCAACAGCAACGTCACAGCATTCGCTCTGAAGGCAAAAGTCATCTACCCCATCAATCAGAAGTTCCGGGTGAGTGTCCTGAGCTCCATCATAGAAATGGAGTTACTTCTGTCATGTGCCAGTGATTGGGAGGAAAGTAGGGGGATTAACTGTGTGATGTTTCATTCTGTTTGAGTGTTTTATGACAAGTCATTTTAATAGGGGTAGTTTAGAGGCTTTGTAATGGAGCAAAACTTAGGGTTAATCTGTCTTATGACAGTGTTATCAGGAAGAGGACATGCCCATGGTAACCATGGTAAGGAAGTTCCATGGCTCCTTGTACTCCTGGGGACGCGAGGTGACAACACAGTAGGACAGCTCCCTCTCTGCCTTTTTAACACTAATACAAACACAGATACCGACTCAGTTCCCAGTGCTAATCCTCATTCACAGAGCCCTGGACTAATGCCAGCACTGGCACTCACTGAACACTTACGTGCACAGGGCCAGCGTCGTGCTGTTTGTCATGCATTAGGCAATTCAACTTGGTGCTATGTCTATCAGGTAAATAATATTGTCTCCACATGACACGTAAGGCAACTGAGGGCCAGAGAGGCTAGTGACCTGAGGTCACGTGACAAGAAGTGGCAGAACCGGAATCAAACCCCAACACCTGGCTACGGTTACACCTTCTGCAGCCTTCAGCCTGGGAGGTGCTTCGTGCCAAAAGGTTTCCTAGTGAAATAAGTTCGGGAAAGTGCGGTTTGCTTTCTTGGTGATCAGGATGACGAGCTCTGGAGTCCCAGTAACTCAGTCCTAACCCCATTTCAGCCATGCTGTGCTGCGTTTCCTGACTTCTCCGTGCCTCAGTCTCGTCATCTGTGAAATGGGGGTGCTGGTGCTTCTGCCTCGCGCCGTTGTTTCGGTGCTACACAGGATAACATAATAAGGGCTCAGACAGTGCACAGCCTCTGCACACTGAGAACATGTTAGCATTTCTGAATTATTACTTGCTTCTGAAGACAGCCAAAGCATATTAAAGGTTCTGAGAATTCCTGCTCCAAAGAAACCTTTCACCTTGTTTAACACAGGCTTTCCCCAACTGATTTGTCTGTGGAACCTTTGTGGCAAGGAGTAACTGGCTCATCTCATGGAACTGTTCCCCAGAGCCCGCATTGGGAACCACATCCTTCACATTGTGGAAGGGTGGGACGGTGGGTGGTTGAAGGGCACTTCCCCATCCTCTGGGTAGGCCCTGAGTGGGCCCTGGGGATCATGCCATGGTCAGGAGGGCATCAGCCCCACCCTAGAGGCCCTCACTGCCTGGGTGGATCGGAATACACCCAGATTGCAGGACAGCACGTGATGAGATAGGCAAGAGGCAGATACCAGGGACTGCGGAGCCATTATGGGGTCTGGGATCCATGCCTGGAGGGAGGGACACTTCCACCCAGCAAGCAACAAATTGCGGGGGGTGATTCAGAGGGAGGGACCAAAGTCGGGAAAGGCCCCGAATGATGAAGCGACCAGGAGTGTCTGAGACAGAGCCACCTCAGTGTGGCTTGGGCAGCCAAAGGTGGAGGCTGACGTTTGCTGGGCCCTCCAGCCGTGCCAGGCCCCAGGCTGTGACCTCCTGTGGCCTAGTGTGCATGGCACTCCAGCTTCTTGGTAAGGAGCATGGAGCCTGTCGGTGGGCAGGGGGAGGGACGGTGGCGCCTGCTCTGTGCAGGGGAAGGACAGGTGGTCGGCAGGATTCGCGGAGGGAGCAGACGGGTCAGACAGCAGCGAGTGAACTGGGTCAGGGCAAGCGGTGGCTGTGGAACAGGTCAGAGTTGCCAGCTGGGAGGAGGGTGCAGCTGGGTGTCCGGGGCACAGATCGAGGTTGGCAGCTTAGGGGAAGGAGCCTGGTGCGGAGGGGCTGGCCTCATGAGGAGAAGTGAACTGTGATTTGGGCCTATGGGATGTGTTGTGGCAGAAGCCGGGACAGAAGCTCTGTGGTGTCTGCTGGCACCCCGGCCAGTCTCCTCCAGCCAGGCTTCCTGTGAGCATCTAGAGTGCGTCTGGTAGAATTGTTAATACTGGATCAAATCCCTGAGGCATCACATGGACTGAGTGTGACTTTCCTACCGCCACCCCAGCCTCTGGCCGATGGCTCCTCCAACCCGTCTCTGCACGAAAACTTAAAGCAGGCTGTGTTGCCGCACCAGCCAGCAGAGGCCTCCCCTTCCAGCAGCCTGGGGAGCCTGAGCCAGGCTGAGAAGGATGACTACAGCTCCTCGTCCAGTGTCCACTCAGCCGCCAGCGATGACAGGTTTCTCAGCCGCACGTTCCTCCGGGTGAACGCCTTCCCTGAGGTGCTGGCCAGCGAGAGGTAGGGAGAGGGGCAATGGAGGATGAGGCTTCTGGTCCTCTTGGCATGGGCCAGGAGGGTCACATCTTTGTCAGAGGAGGAATCAGAGGCCTAGAGAGGTTCAGTGACTCTGCCAGGGACACACAGCCACCCAGCATCACAGTCAGAGCCCCAGATGAATTTGTCACTTGTGTGCTGTGTTGACCAACACTGGGGTTATAGAGTCAGGCCTGAGCCCTGGGGAGAGACGACAAGGCGGCCTCATTTAATCACTGGCATGCCCCATGCATGCCATCCTAGCCGCTGGTGAAGTTGATTAAGTGGGTACTTCTGAGTACTGGACAGAGTGCTAAGCACTTTACAGAGATTAACGATCTCATAACGATTTTGCCCAGTGGGAGGGAGCCTGGGACAGGTTCAGCAATCGGTAAGTGTTACTCAATGAATGAATGAATTCCCCTTAACATACCTATGAGGTTAGGACTGTCACTTCCCCCATTTCACAAAGAATAAAGGGAAACCCAGAGAGGCTACATGACTTCTGGTCACACAGCAGTGAGTGACAGAACTGGGTTTGACCCAGCCCAGAGCAGGGCTCAGCACCTAGGGGCTTGAGAAACTCAGTCTGACAGGTTCACACACCCGGCCTCAGGCCTCTCTCTGCTCTGAAATTACATGAATCCAAGGGTGGGATGGTCCAGCATACAGCCTCTGCTCGGGGCTGGCAGAAGGACTGGGCTCAGCTCCTTGAGCCTGAATGTGACCCAGGCAGAAGGGACTTCACTGAAGAGGGACCTTCTTGGATTGGCCAGCCCTGGCTTAGAACAGCTTTCTTTCAGCATTCGGACTTAGAGGATTTGAAACAGTTTGGGTGGGAGTGTCATCATGTAAAATGTATTTGCCTATGAGGGAAAAATGCTCAGACTTCTACATCTGCCGTGTGTCTGCCCCCGTGGACCCGCTGATGATCACTTGATTTCTCTGATCCTCTCTTCCCTGAGTCAGTTTCTGCATCTGTAAAATGGGCATGAGAATGTGTCCGCTAAGGCATCGAGGAAAGATGACATGTGTGATGACAGATATGAACATGCTTGAGGTTGGGCATCGTGGCTCATGCCTATAATCCCAACATTTGGTATCCAAGGTGGGTAGATTACTTGAGCTCAGGAGTTCAAGACCAGCCTAGGTAACATAGTGAGACCCCATCTCTAAAATAAAATACAAAACTCAGCTGGGTATGGTGGCGCATGTCTGGTAGTCCCAGCTACTCAGGAGGCTGAGGTGGGAGGATCACTTGAACCTGGGAGGTGGAGGCTGCAGTGAGCTGTGATTGTGCCACTGTACTCCAGCCTGGGAGACAGAGAAAAACCCTGTTTCTAAAAAGTAAATAATTTTTTAAAGAAAATACTCAAAGGAGGAAACAGCATTTTTATTTCTCCCCCTTCCCTCTCTCACTGGTTTTCTCTTGGAAGTCCCAGGCAACTGTGTCTCTGACACCACCTGTTGTCTTCTGGCCATTGGTGGGTTTCAAACAGCTCATTCAATCCCTTCTTATAAGCCTGGAACGAGTGTAAGGACCTCAGCATGCTGTGGAATGAGAGTCTGAGGCAGGGCGTGCTGTGGCTTATACTGATTAGGAGCGTGCCAATATCCATGCTTTTCGTTTCCAATATGCTGAAAGTCTTTTCCAGTTCTCATTTTATTTTGCAGTGTAGACATTGACCTGTGTATCTACAGCCTTCACTTAAAAGACCTGCTGCATTTGGACACGGCTCTGAGGCAGGAAAAGCACATGGTAGGTGGAGGTGTTCGCATTCCCTCCTTTTCATGGGGGCAGGAACTGGGAGACACGGCCTCTGTGTGCAGTGGGTCCCAGGGACCCTTGAGAGGCCGACATCAATGAAAACAGAGCTGCTGAAAGGTGGGGCAAGCAGCGCTGCCACGCATCCAGCCACAAAATGCAAAAGCACTTCATGCCTATTGGTGGGGCGTGGCGTTTACTTTAACTAGAGCTGTGGAGCCTCAGCAAAAAGAGGAGTATTTCGTCCCAGGGCACACCTCCTGCTGGAGACAGAGGTAAGAGATATTTAAAAGAGAATAATATTTTTAAAGGATTAGTAATAATATTTATGAACATGAATTTTCTAGAGTGCTTGCTATGTCCTGGGTCCCAGGAGTATTACACTTAAACCTCAGCACAATCCAGAGGGGCAGGTATTAGTATTATCGCTACTCTGCAGGTGGGGAAACTGAGGCACAGGGAGGCGGAGGTACTGTGTGGTGCCCAGATGAGACATTGAGTACCTTCTTATGGGGGCACATGTTCTCTTGGCTGAATGAACAGGAACTCAGAACTGTGGATGTGAGGAAAACAACATTAGTCTCTGCCGGATGAATAGGGTCCAGACCTGCAGGGTCCCGTGAGTCCCTCTCTATAGGTGTGGAGACGAGAAACTGTGGAAATAAAAGACACAAGACACCAAGAAAGAGAAAACAGAGTTTGGGCCCAGGGGTCCACTGCCAACCAAAGTGTGGAGTCCAGCAGTGGCCCTGAGTGCCTGGACACTGACTTTTATTGAGTCCACAGCAGGGGGACGGGTAGGTAGAATGAGGTAATCGTGGCCAGTGATAGGGCCAGGTGAATCACGTGACTTGGAGACAGGGGCCCAAGACTTTGAAGAAGCCAAGGCGAGGAGAAAACCCAAGGTGTCAGCACTTTTTTCATATTTGTCAAGAAATAGCAAGGTAACTAAGATTTATGTTACTAATTCTCATCTTCTATGAAAAAGAGGAACCAGGTGCAGAAGCAGAACTTGAAAGTAGACGTGGAACCTGACCACTGAACCACAGAACCACATAGAGAATTAAGTCCTCGGATGTCTGTGGGCCTCCCTGACAGTGTCAGGCTGACCACAAGAGCTTGGAAGAGCGGAGTTTTCTCCTAATTCTTCAGAGGAAGGAGAGACTTGGTCATCTTGGACGTCTCCTTCCCTAGCTGGCTAAACGGCGGGTGCTTTCACAACGCTGACACTGCCGCACAGCCAAGGCATCCTCCAGCAGACCTTATGCAGGCATGACAGAGCGCTTGCAGCATCTTGCCTTATGGTCACCTCTTTTCCAATGCCACTTCAGCTCCATACTTCTTGACCTGAGACTTATTAGTAAAATTAAAGATTATATGATTATGTGTATATATTTATGATTACATATGAATAGCTATGTGGCTATGATTATATATATGTAGGAATAACTATATAACTATATCTCTAATTTGTTTCTAATTCTGTGTTTATATGAGAACATGCTGAGGCTTCAGACCCTTGCCTAGGCTCTTGCAGAGATCCCCCCCGCCCGACACAGATGCGCCTGGCCTTGATGGACTCACCCGTGGATCTGAGCTGTGGGAAGCCAGACAGACGAGTCCCACCATAGCTGCAGAATCCCAGTGGGTTTAGCCAGGCATCAAGACCCCAGGGGTTAAAAATGTGCTATTTCTCCATGAGGCACATTCTCTGGATTACTGAATGAGGGATGAGACCTACAGAGAGAAGAAGGCAGGTGAGAGAAAGAGGAGAGAGAGGAACAGAGGCAGACAGACACAAGATATGTCTACAGGGCATGCTTATCAACTGGAAAAGGGCAAGAACATCACGTTGGAGGCCAGGCGTGGTGGCTCACACCTGGAATCTCAGGCTTTGGGAGGCTGAGGCAGGAGGATTGCTTGAGCCCAGGAGTTTGAGACCAGCCTGGGTAACATGGCAAAAACCTGTCTCTACCAAAAAAAAAAAAACAGATTAGCCTGGTGCAGTGATGCATGCCTATAGTCCCAGCTACACTTGAGTCCAAGAGATGGAGGCTGCAGTGAACCGTGATCACACCACTGCACTCCAACCTTGGTGACACAAAAAACAGATTAGCACACTGGGGATGCGCCTGAAAGAAACTTGTGCTCTGTGTGAATAGGACTAGCCTTATGAACAGGTGCCAATGTTTGAAACCGTAAATATGCTAGAATTCGAGAAATCGAGCATAGCCCTCCCTGCCCCCACCCCAGCACCCATTGATGTCCTGGGACGTGGGCCACCTAGCACCCTGTGGCTGCAGCCTGCCCTCAGTGCACTCCTCCGGCCGTGGCTGTTTTCTCCAAGGCTCCAGGCTCCCTGGGAGGATCAGTTCTTTCTGGGCTCAGAGCCCATCCAGTTGGTGAGCAGAGTGGTCCTGGCTGGCCTTGCCCCACAGCCAGCAGGCACCCATAGTGAGCAGCCTGTGGTCCTGGAGGGATGGTTCACCATCACTCACCATCCAGCACTGGGGCGTGGCCTCTGCACACTGCTGGGCACAGTGTCAGACACCAGAGGTGGCCTCTGCCTTTGTGGAGCCCACACTCTCTGGGGCAGCAGGGAGGGGAGTAAACAGATGTCACAAAATATACAGTGGCAGGCAGCATGACAAAGGCCTGCGACAAAGCACCATGCAGGTGTAAAGGGGGCACCAGAGGGAGTGCAGGCTGGGAAAATGGTCAGGCTTCCCTGGGGGTGAAAACCCAGGGAAGTTCCAGGAGCACTGGATTATGAGACAGAGACCTAGGCTCTAGTCCACCCTTTGACAATTAGGAGCTGTGTGACTGGGTAAATTGCTTCACCTCTTTGGGCCACTTTAGGAAAGGCTTAAAGAAAATACTTTTTCAGCTCTTACTCTGTGGAATTACTGAGTTACTGGGAAGTCAAGCTGTCCTGCTTTGAGAGGGTTCTGTGGGTAGAACTCTGGGCTTCATGTAACAACTGTGTGGCCTGCATGGTCACAGCAGCGATTATTCTGCATGTACGCTCTTATAGGCTCGCTCGGTGCTTTAAATCTTTGAAGTTTTACCTGTCGCTTCACTAACAACGAACCTGAGGCTCAGAGAGGTTAAGTCACTTGTCCAAGGTCACACAGCGGGTGATGGCAGAATCAGACCTGGACAAGGTCTGTCTGAGTGCAAGGCCTCTGCATGCTCGGGTGTAGCCCTGCACTCTGCACATCAAAGGTGCTTAGGAGAAATGTGTTGCGCATGTGACTGGCACCGCCCTGAGAGAGCTGCCTCCCAGCACAGTCCTTCCTTCTCTGGGGAGTACAGCTCCATCGTCGTGTGCTGGGTCTGTAGGAACTGGGTGAGCCCCTGGAGCTGTGCTACCTGGAGACCTCAAGCTCTGTTTCCCTGGTCGAGATGAGCTGAGGTTCAGAAGTTCTTCAGACCACGGGAGACCCTCATGTGTCCCAGAAGTTTGGAGCTCCCTGGCTGGCCCTGAGGAGGAAGAAACTGGCTCTGGGCTTGTCCAAGAGGCAGGAGAAGCTGGAGTGGAACCTCTATAAATAGATTGGTCGGGATGAGAACAGATGGGGGGCATGGAGGAAAGGTTAAATAAAGGGGAGCGCCAGCACGAGGGGTCTCAGGATGCTGGAATGTTACTTTGATTGTGGCTGCACTTACCTGAATCTATACGTGGGGTACAATTGTATAGAACTACACACACGCGCACACACACGTGCACACGCGTAAATGTGCATAAAGCTGGGTGAAAGCTGAATAGTGCCTGCAGACAACAGTATTCGACCAATGGCAATTTCCCAGTTTCGATACCGTGCCAGGGTGTCGTCAGCAGCCACGCCTGGGGGCGGAGCACACAGCACTTTGTGCAGGCCCACCTGGCGTTATTGCATTTCACTTTATTATGCTTCAGAGATGCTGCATTTTTTTTTTGTTTGTTTTACAAATTAAAGGTTTTTGGCTACTCTGCATCCAGCAAGTCTGTGGGCTCCATTTTTCCAATAGCACATGCTCACTTCACGTCTTTGTGCGACATTTTGCTCATTCTTGCACCATTTCAGACTTTTTCATGATTATTTACAGTCATCTGTGATCAGTGATCTGGGACATTACGATTGCAGTTGTTTGAGGACACCACAAACTGCGCCTGTGTGAGACGGCGAACTTACTAAATGTTCGGTGTGTTCTGACGGAATCACTGACTTGCCATTCCCTCTCCTTGGGCCTCCCTATACCGTGAGACAGTGTGATACTGAAATTAGACCAGTTAGTAATGCTGCAATGGCCTCCAGGTGTCTGAGTGAAAGAAAGAGTCGTGTATCTCTCACTTTAAATCGAAAGCTAGAAATTGTGAAGCGTAGTGAGGAAGGCAGGTCAAAAGCTGAGACAGGCTGAAAGCTGGGCCTCTTACACCGCACAGTTAGCCAAGTTGTGAATGCAAAGAAAAAATTCTTGAAGGAAATTAAAAGTGCTACTCCAGTGAACACACGAATAAGAAGAAAGGAAAACAGCCTTATTGCTGATACGGAGAAAGTCTAACTGGTCTGCATAGATCAAAGCAGACAGAACATCCCCTTAAACCAAAGCCTCATCTAGAGCAAGACCCCGACCCTCTTCAATTCTGTGAATGCTGAGGGTGGTGAGGAATATGCAGAAGAAAAATTTGAAGCTAGCAGAGAATGAGGTTTAAAGAAAGAAGCTGTCTCTAGAACAGATAAAAGTGCAAGGTGAAGCAGCCACAAGTACCGATGGAGAAGCTTTAGCAAGTTGCCCAGAGGATCCAGGTAAGACCATTTGTGAAGGCAGCTGCCCTAAACAACAGATTTTCAGTGTGGATGAAATAACATGATACGATCATGGAAGAAGATGCCATCTAAGACTTTCATAGCTAAAGAGGAAAAGTCAATACCTGGCTTCAAAGCTTCAAAGAACAGGCTGACTCTCTTGTGAGGGGCTAATGCAGGAGATGACTTTAAGCTGAAGCCAGGACTCATCGACATTCTGAAAATTCTAGGGCCCTTAAGGGTTATGCTAAGTCTACTCTGCCTGTGCTCGGTAAATGGAACAGCAAAGCCTGGACTATAACACAGCTCTTTGTAGCATGGTTTAAGCCCACCGTTGACACCTGCTGCTCAGAAAACAAAATTCCTTTCAAAATGTTGCTGCTCATCGACAAAACACCTGGCCACCCAAGAGCGCTGACGAAGATGTGCAAGGAATTTAATGTATTTTCATGCCTGCCAACACAGCATCCATTCCGAGCCCATTGATCACAGAGGAATTTCAACTTTCAAGTCTTATTGTTTAAGAAATATATTTCCTAAGGCTGTAACTGCCATAGATAGTGATTCCCTCTGAAGGATTTGAACAATGTAAATTGAAAACCTTCTGGAAAGAATTCACCATTGCAGATGCCATTGAGAACTTTCATGATTGATAGGAGGAGGTCAAAATACCAACATTAACAAGAGTTTGGAAGAGGTTGATTCCAATCCTCATGAATGACTTCGAGGGGATTCAAGACTTCAGTGGAGGAAGTCCTTGCAAATGTGGTGGAAATAGCAGGAAAACTTGGATCAGAAGTGGAGCCTGAGGATGGGGCCGAGTTGCTGCAATCTCATGGTGGAACGTGAATGGATGCGGAGCTGCTTCTGATGGATGAGCAACGCAAGTGGTGTCTAGAGAAGGAATCTGCTTCTGGTGAAGATGCTTTGAACGTTGTTCAAGGGATTTAGAGTATTACATAAACTTATTTGGAAAGCAGCTGCAGGGTGTGAGAGGATTGACTTCAAGTTCTACTGTGGGCAAATTGCTATAGAGTAGCATGGCATGCTGCAGATAAATCTTTTGTAAAAGGAAGAGTCAGGGCCAGGTGCCGTGGCTCATGCCTGTAATCCCAGCACTTTGGGAGGCCAAGGTGGGTGGATCACGAGGTCAAGAGATCGAGACCATCCTGGTCAACACGGTGAAACCCTGTCTCTACTAAAAATACAAAAAATCAGCTGGGCATGGTGGCGCGTGCCTGTAATCCCAGCTACTCGGGAGGCTGAGGCAGGAGAATTGCCTGAACCCAGGAGGCGGAGGTTGCGGTGAGCCGAGATCGCGCCATTGCACTCCAGCCTGGGTAACAAGAGCGAAACTCCTTCTCCAAAAAAAAAAGGAAGAGTCAGTTGATGTGGCCAATTTCAGAGTTGTTTTATTTTAAGAAACTGTCACAGCCACCCCAGCTTTCAGCGGCCACCAGCCTCATAAGTCAGCAGCTGTCAACATCAAGGCAAGACACTCCACCAGCTAAAAGATTACAACTTTGTTTTTAATAATCACCTTAGGCTCAGATGAACATTAGCATTTTTTGAGAAGAAGGTATTTTTAAATTAAAATGTGTGCTTTTTTAGACATAATGCTACGGTACACTTAGACTACAGTATAGTGAAAACATAGCTTTTATATTCACTGGAAAACCAAAAAATAGGTGTGGCTTGCTTTATTGATATTCACCTTAATGAGGTGGCCTGAAATCAACCCCGCAGTATCTCCATGATATGCTTGTATTATTTTTGTATCTCCATTTGAATCTATAACTGTCCCAAAACTGGCACTCTGGAGAGGGAAAGGATGAGGCTGTAGGCATTACGGATTCATTCGGGGCCAGGAAGAAAGTAGACTTGAAACTAACATCTTGCAGAAATAATGTTATTCTATCTTACACCATAACAGTCTTCAGCGTGTAGCAAGGCAGGACACCACTTTATTCTTAGAGCTCACTGTCATTGGCATATATGAATGTTGGTGGGCAGAGTTCTGTGTTCGAATCTCAGCTCTATTGCCTGTGGCTGTGTGGCAGGAGGCAAGTTGCTGGGCATTTTTCAAGGGAAGGGAAAAATGGAGAAGATGATATCAATCTCCCCGCATGTTGTGAAGATCAAGTGGTGGTATATATAATACATACATTAGGCTGGCACAGAAGAGTGATTAACAAGCCTTAACCCACTAAAGAAGGATCAAAAACTGTGGCCCTTGAGCCAAACCTGGCCATGCCCCTTCTTTTCCATATTGCCTGCGTGGCATATACCACAACCGCCGGACTAAGTAGTTGCAAAGAGATCATGTGGCCTGCAAAGCCAAAAAAATATTTGCTGTGCCCCCCTTTACTGAAAAACTTTACTAAACCCTGCATTTAAAAATGCCTTACCAGGCTGGGTGCAGTGGCTCATTCCTATAATCTCAGCACTTTGGGAGGTGAAGGTGGGCAGGTTACATGAGCTCAGGAGTTCGAGACCAGCCTGGGCAACATGGAGAAACCCCGTCTCAAAAAAAAAAAAAAAAAACGCCTTACCAGCTTATATCTAAATGACCTTTGACAAAGGGGCAAAAGCACTTCAATGGAGGAATGATGAGCTTTTAATAAATGGTACTGGAGCAATTGGACATCTGTAAACAAAGCAACAGCAGCAAAGGAACCTCAACCAAAACCTCACACCTTATACAAAAATTAACTCAAAGGGATCAAATACTTAAATATAGATAATAAACTATAAATATTTTAGAAAAAAATATTGACCGGCACGATTGGCTCATGTCTATAATCCCAGCACTTTGGGAGGCTGAGGTGGGTGGATCACTTGAGGTCAGGAGTTCAAAACCAACCTGGCCAGCATGATGAAAACTCCATCTCTGCTAAAAATACAAAAATCAGCCAGGTGTGGTGGCACAAGCTTGTAATCCTACCTACTTGGGAGGCTGAGACAGAAGACTCACTTGAGCCTGGGAGGTGAAGGTTGCAGGGAGCCAAGATCGTACCACTGCACTCCAGCCTGGATGACAAAGTGATACTCCATCTCTCTCTCTCTCTCTCTCTATATATATATATATATATATATATATGTACACACACACACACCCACACCCACGCACACACGCGTATTTGATAAGAGAATGCCAAATTTGATAAGAAATTGCAAAAATGTTTTCCAGGATGGCCGTAGGTACCATTTTGTATTCCCATCAGCAATGTATGAGTGATTACAAAAATTAGCCGGGTGTAGTGGCACAAGCTTGTAATCCTACCTACTTGGGAGGCTGAGACAGAAGACTCACTTGAGCCTGGGAGGTGAAGGTTGCAGTGAGCCAAGATTGTACCATATATATATACACATATATATATATTTGAGAAACTCTCCAGGATTTAGACCTAGGCAAAGAGTTTTTAGACTTGACACCAAAAGCACGACACACAAAAGGAAAAATTAGCTGGAGTTCATCAAAATTAAAAACTATTGCTTTGCAAAAGACCTTGTTAAGAAGATGACAAGATAAGAAGCTACAGAGTGAGAGAAAATGTTTGCAAAGCAGGTATCTGCCAAAGGACTGGTACCTACACCGGTTACAGAAATGTCCAGACTCAGCTGAAGGCAGGAGGCAATCCAGTTAGAAAATGGGGAGACATGAACAGATATTTCACCAAAAGAGATATATGGATGGTAAGTAAACACATAAAAAAGCGTTCAATATTCTTAAGCCAGCATGAAAATCCAAGTTTAATTCACAATAAGATCACTACACACGTGTCAAAATGGCTAAAATAAAAAATAGTGACAACACCGAATGCTGACAAGGACGTGGAGAAACTGATCACTCATCCATTGCTGATGGGAATATAGAGTGGTACCTACCACCACACTGGAAAACATTTCCATGATTTCTTATCAGATTAAACTTGCAGCTACCAGGAATGCCAGCAATTGCACTTGCGGGCATTTACCTCAGAGAAATGAAGACTCACGTTCACACAAATGCTCGTAGCAGCATTCTTCATAACCCCAAACTGGAAACAATCCAGATGCCTTACAGGGTGAATAGATCAACAAAATGTGGACACAGTCCCCTCTGTACATTCCTGGGTATCCCCACTTATGGGAGGCTCCTTCTTCATTTAAGGGACGTCTCCATCCATTGAAATAGGAGACTGACATGGATGACTTTGCATTTCCAGTTCCATACAACTATCCCACTGATTCTTCAAAGAAGCAAACCCTCCTTTGCCTTTTGTATTTTCTTCACACATGGAAATGGGGGATGTGGAGGGTCTTGCACAGAGTAAGCACCTAATATTTGTTGAATACATCCATGAAGAAGCGAAGCTTTTTTAGGAAGCTTCATGAAAATGTAATCCATTGTGGACCATTTTCATGATTTATAATCTGAGGTCCTTTCTTACAGCAAGACGTATGGAGAGAGGGCAAAAGAAGAAAAGGAGGAGGGAGGCAGTGAGGGGGGGAGGGAAAAGAGAACAGAAAGTGAAAGACAGAAGTACCATTGGTTAAACTTTTCTCTTGTTATCTTTCCTTTTTTGGCAATAGATGTTTATGCAGATTTTTAAAATGTGCCTCCTTGATCTTCTTCCTAAAAAGAATGATGAATTATACCAGAAGATCCTTTCAAAGCAAGAAAATGTAAGTAAGTCTTCAACCTATATTTCAAAGTAACTTAAAAATAGTTTATTATAATATATGAAGCTTATGATACAAAACTATTATTTCTTCCATGTATAAAATAGGTTCTTACAATATACACTTTTTAACACAGTATAATGAAATATAAAAGTATGTATGCAAATATTTGAACAGTGTATTATTTGGAAAATATTTACAGCAAAGAGAAGAGTATTGGCTGTATTCACTACTCAAAGACAATCACTGTTAATGTTATTGTCGGCACAAGTTTGGGATATTTTTAAAGACGTAATAATTTGTTTATTGGTTGTAGATATATATACTAGTTTGAATTCTATTCTCAGTCTTTTATGGAAAGTTTATTTTGTTTCATGCACAGCAAAGAGTCGGGGTTTGGAGTCAGACTGGTTGAGTTTGGTACCCTGGCTCTATCTTTTACAAGCTGTCAGAATCCTGGTTTCTTTTTGTGTAGTGAGATAATTTCTGTTCTGCAGTAGTGCAGAAAGGGTAAGAGAGATGTGTATGGTGCACCTGGTAATATCATAGACTGTGGATATGTGATGGCTGCCGTCATCCTCATTATTGCAGCCACCACCAAAATCATCATCATCTTCGTGATTGCCATCATTTTTATTTTATACCACCACCATCACCGCCACCACTACCATCCCAGTTCAATTCTTCATCACATCATTGTTGTCATCGCCATCACCGTCTTTTTTGTTATCGTCACTGCTGACACCATCACCCTTCTTTCTGTGCTTACCACCATCATCATCATCCTCATGACCGCTGTCATCACCAACACCGTCACGGTCCTCCTGTCCCCATTACATCATCGTGAGCATCATTTTATCACTGTCGTTGTAATCTTTGGCATTCTCATTCCCATCACCACCATCATCACCATCTTCATGGCCATCACCACTACCAATGTTGCCACACAGGCAAGCTCCAGAATGGGGCTTAGCCTGGGAGGGTACTTGGCTTCATCCAGGAAGGAATTCAAGGGAGAGCCAGTGGTGTTAGACAGTAGTGTTTTTTTTTTTTTTTTTTTTTGAGACGGAGTTTCACTCTTGTTACCCAGGCTGGAGTGCAATGGCGCGATCTCGGCTCACCGCAACCTCCGCCTCCTGGGTTCAGGTAATTCTCCTGCCTCAACCTCCTGAGTAGCTGGGATTACAGGCACGTGCCACCATGCCCAGCTAATGTTTTGTATTTTTAGCAGGGCTAACCCATAGGCAATGTGCCCAGAGTTGGTAACAGCTTGGCAACAGTACTTATACTCATGTAAACCCACTTTTAGTTACATGCAAATTAAGGGGCAGTTGAATGTAAATTGAGGGACGGGTTATTTAGAACTTTCTAAAAAGGGGACAGTAACTTCTGGGTTGTTGCCATTGAAAGGGATGGTAACTTTTGGGTTGTTGACATGGCATTTGTAATCTGTGGTTGTGCTGCTGGGAATGTCTTATGCTAACGAGCAATGAGGGCAGCAAGGGATCCCTTTCATCACCATCCACTGGTTCCTGCAGGTTTCTTCCCTTTATCCTGTCTGGACCAGATGCCATTTTGATCAGCAGGGTTGTGATCAGAAAACAAGCCCTGCTGGTCTCCTAACTTACCTTATTCTCACCATCATCATCGTTATTCGGATTCTACTGTCACCAGCCTCTTCTTCATCATCCCCTACCATCACTTTCATTGTCACCATAATCATTATCGTCATCATTCTCCTTGTTGCCATCGTCATTGCATCACTGCGATCCTCTCCTCAGCACGAGCATCATCACCATCTCCATCTTCTGCCTCTACCTTCACCTTCATTAGAGTCCTTATCATCATCATCATCCTTGCTACTATCACCATTAGACCTGGGGGTCTGAGAAGGAATGTTTCTTCCTTACTCCACTGGATTCCATGAAGAAGGATGACTCACTGCATCCCAAGAAGGAGGAAAGACATCATTGTCTTCATTGTCACCTTCAGCACCACCACCATGGTCATGGTCCTCAGGCAATGCACATGGTGCTTGGCATACCTTATTTCATTTAATACTTATGACAGCCCTGTGAGTGGCCATTATTATTTTTGTTTTACAGCTGAGGAAACTGAGGCTCCATGAGTTCAAATGACTTTCCAATGGCAAAAATGATAATGATGATGACATTTATCATCGCATTAGTAATAATGAAACAATACTGTCTGTTATAATGGAAAGAATAAGAGCTCTGGAGTCTGCAGACCTCAGATCAAATCCCATCTCTACCAGTTAAACAAAGCTGTTTGAACTTAGGCAAGCATATTGATTAGAAAAGTAGCTAGTATTTATTGAGACAGTCTAGTCAAGTGATTTAAATGCATAATTTCATTTAACACTTGCAATAACCTTAAAACTTTCAGAAGAAGATGAGAAGTGCCCAGAATTTGGAAGAGTAAGGACAAGGCTAGCACTGCCCCTTCTTGCCTGGGAGTCTTTGGACAAACTATCCTACCTTCCATAAACCAGCTTTGTCACCTGGAAAGGGGTCATAATTTCTCTCCTGCAAAGATGCTGTGAGGATTAGAAATCACAGGTGGGCTCAGCTTTGGTCCTCAATCGTAGTTTACATCAATGTTAGTTTTCCTGATGAAGCTGGACCGATGCCACACTGTTGGCTATGTGGCAATGAACATAGAGAAAGTAGAACTGCCTCCCACACTCCATCTTGGGGTTTGTAGGACTCTATACTGAAAACGCCCCTTTTCCTTCCTGAGTTCAGAATCAGTTGAGAGAGTCGGGAAGCCAGATAGAGAAATGTAGCTTTATTACTGAGTAGAGGCCAGCTTGGAGGACGTGGCTTAGATACACAGCTATCATGGCTTCCTAATACTGAATCCCAGAAATCACTTCATTGCCTAGCTAGTCACAGGCAATACTGGGCCATCTTAGGCTTCCCCACAGAAAAACAAGGTCTTGGCTACCCAGCCCACTCTAGGCTGAGACCACACCAGAGCAGTGGCCTCCCCTGATTGCCCCATCAAAACAGGAAGAGGCTGGGAAAGCTTCTGGGTTTTGAACCAACCAATAGAATACACACTACTTCCTGCCCTGGGATGTTGTAATTTTTCTCCAGGAAAACCAGAAGAGGAGGGAAGAAACATTCCTTCCCAACCCACCAGATGTCATGATATTTTCCAGGACTTTATAATGATTGAAGGATACATTTTATTGATTTTTTAAAGTATGGTCAAACTTCGTTTGCAGGAGGATATAGAAGAAAATAATCCATTATTCTTGAAGCTCTATGTTTAATGAGAAAATAGATTTGTTGCCAGTAGGTTTATTATCAGATCTCATGTACAACAATGCCCAGAGCATTTAATTATTGTTTTAAAATATTTTGTAATGATGTGGTGAAAAATAAGAACATTTATTTTTCTAGAACTTAAGACACAATTTTTGTTTCTTTGTTTATTTGCTTTTTTTTTTTCTTCTCTAGGATTTGGAGGAATTAGAAAAGGGACTTCAGGTGAAACTGTCAAACACGGAAATGTCAGGGGCTGGTGACTCTGAGTACATCACCCTAGCTGATGTGGAAAAGAAGGAGCGAGAATACTCTGAACAGCTAATTGATAATGTGCGTGCTGGACTTTCTTTCCTGTACACAAATATTGGTTTCAAAAACAGTTAAATTGACTAAATTAAAGAGATGATAGTTAGAAGTGTGCCTAATCCTTGGATTACCCTATCACATTCTGCCCAGGAGGCAGGGTCCGGTTTCTGATGCTAAGTGATACGGAAGAAGTAATTAAGCAGCAAAGATTCACAAAGGGAGGTTTATTTTTTATGTCATGAATTATCCTCATTTAAATTTCAGATTGGCCTTTTTATCATTCAAAGCAAAGATTGCTATAACCTTTGTGGTCGTCACTGCCCTTTGGAGCAGAGCAGAGGAAAGCCGCTGGGCACCGCTCATGAAAGTGTGCTTTCAATTGCAGACGGAATTGCTTCCCTGGAATGCTTTTTTCTTTATCTTGGGTTCCAGCACCCCCTGTTCATATATTATGTATTAAACAAATATTTCCTGGGCACTCGCTCTTCACTAGGCATTGTGCTGGGCACTGGGGACGTAAAAGTCATTTAGACATGGCCTTGCCTGAGAGGTGCCAGGGGAGACCAACAGGTGAGCAGATGAGGCTTCATGGGGTCACACGTCTTGTGATAGAAGGAAACACGGGAGAAGGCCCGAGGCAGGCACAGCGGAGGGAAGCGTTCATCCCCAGGCTCAGGAAAGCTTCCACAGAGGAAGGGACCATGGAGAGGCTGGTCGGGAGAAGGGTGGGTGCTGGCCAGGGATGGGGCAGGGACGGGAGGTAAGGAGGGCTGAGAGCAAGTCAAGGTGAGGTAAAGCCAGAGGGGCCTAGCCAGAGGGCTTGTGTCTTATGCCAGGGAGGTGGGAGGCACCAAAGCTTTGAAGCAGGGGCTGGCTGGGTTCAGCATCTGTTTTAGAAAGGCTGCCCAGGCACTGAGTGGAGGCTGGTGACGGTCTACTGGGCTGGTCCAGCAGGAACTTTATTAAGGCAACTGCAGTAGGATGGACAGGTGAGGAAAAGCGTGAGAGAAGCTGTGGTGCCTACCGTGGGGCAGCAGGTGGGGAGGAGGAGGGGTCCAGTGTCAGTGCTACTGAAATAAGGGTCCCAGAGTGAGAAGTGCATGGGAGGGAGGGAGCCGGTGCCTGTCTCCTCTGAGTAGGTCCAATATTGAGAGGAGAGGCCTAGAGATGCAGGGTCTCCATGAGAACCCACATTAGAGGACCTGGAGGGCCAGAATGTTCTTAGAACTGTGGACACAGCCTGGATTCCAGTGGTCCACAGAACCCCCAACGCTGTGGGCAGCATCTTGTCCATGTCTGCATTTCTCAGGGAGAGGGCTCAGAGTTTTCATAAGATTCTCCAAAGTACTGGTGACCTCCAAAAATGGAGATACCTCTGGTCTAGAAATGTGTGTAAAATGGGAAGAGAAAAGATCTTGGGGCCAAATCTTGGATCCTGCCCATATTTAAGGAGGAGGGGATGAGAAGAATCAGGACAAGAAAGAGGGGAAGAATTGGATGGGCTTTGCCAAAGCAGGAGAAAATCATGTCGTGGACGCCAAGAGAATCAGGAGTTTGTAAGCAGAGCGGGGTGTGCAGAGTTGGTGGTTGACAATCAGGTGGAAGGCAGGTCTGATGGCCCCAGGGGGAAGAGCAGGGTGACAGCATGAGGGTGCCAGGCAGGTGTGAGGTCCCTCCTGGCAGGGATGGGAGGAAGAGCTGACTAGCAGCATGTATGGGGTTTAGTGGGAGGCAATGGGGTCCTGAGATGGGAAGGCACAACAGTGGGGGGGCATTCATCTGGGTGCAGGCTTCCCCATGACAGAGCCAGACAGACACCGCAGTTACAGTGGACAAAGTAGAAAGGTTACAAGGTTACAGGTACCATGACCTTTAGTCACAGCAACAAGATCTGCATGGGTTTCTGGTGCCACTAACCCCTGCCCCCTCCCATGCCTGGTCCAGCCAGAAGTGTCCATTTCAGCCCTGAGCCGAGATGGAGACAGTCCCAGCTGTGGAGTGAAATGGACCTGAACCAAATCCTGGCTCTCATTGGTTACATGACCTCTGACAAGTGACCTGACTTTCCTGAGCCTGTCCCTACATCTCCGGATACAAACTTATCAAGGCATCAAATGTACGAAGTACAGAACCTGGCAAACGGCCTGTGGGCCACGAGGGAAAGTTGTTCGGCTTCCTAGTATTATTGTCCTTAGAGCTCTGACTGGCTGCAATGACGCAGTTAAACCTCCTGCATTCTAAGCCACTTGGGGATTCCCAGCTCTGCTCCTGATAAAATGAGGACGAGGGAGGAAAAATATTTTAAAGCAAAAGGTTTGCATGGTGGGCATCGTCTCTGCCGTGTTAAACTTTTGTACTTTCAGGACAGTAACTTATATTGAAATGTCTGTTTATGCTTTTATTTCCAGGAAGTGTTTAATCCCTTTTAAAATTCCCAAAGCTTCCAAGAGCACATTTTCACATTTAATCTGCCCCTAGGTAGCTTAATGACCTGTGCAAGAGTCTGTAGGCTGGACAAGCTGCTGCTTTCTTTCCTTAGCAGCAGTGCTTTTGTGTCTGCTGAAAAGCCATCACAAAACTGGCTCCTGCAATGGAACCAGAAAGAACTTTACTGTAGAATGTGATTGTTGCCAAGATAAACTCACTGAAATTGTAGAATTGTTTAGAATCTTTGTTCGTGATAAGGAGTGAATTGTAATTCCCAAGCATGCACCCGTTTGGCTTTAAGTAAGTTTTTCCCTCATTCTTGCTGCTTTTGCTCATTTCACAGATGGAAGCTTTCTGGAAACAAATGGAAAACATCCAGCACTTTCTTGTGGACCAATTTAAGTGTTCCAGCTCCAAAGCCCGACAGCTCATGATGACTCTGACGGAAAGAATGATTGCAGCCGAAGGGCTATTGTGCGATTCTCAGGAGCTGCAGGCTCTGGTAATGCTGGAGGGGGCAGGAGGGAACATGAAGACATTCAGACTAGAGATTTGGAATCCCAACGCTTGACATTATTAAATCTAACAGATTCATGTTGTAGCTGGATATATAGAGCCCCAGGGGAAAAAAAAAAAACAGTAAATTCATCCATCCATCCATTTATTCATCCATCCATCACCCATTCATCCACCCATTTACCCTTCCAACCACCCACCCACCCATCCATCCATCCATCCATCCATCCACCCGTCCACCCACCCATCCATCCAACCATTTATCTACCCACGCACCCACCCACCCATCCACCCACCTACCCATCCATCCACTTACCCATCCATCCATCCATCCACCCATTCATCCATGCATTTACCCTTCCAACCACCCATCCATCCATCCATCCATCCATCCACCCATCCATCCACCTGCCTACCCATCCATCCAACTATTCATCCACCCACTCACCCACCCACCCATCTACCCATCCATCCACTTACCTATCCATCCATCTGTCCATCCACCAACCCACCCAACCACCCCTCCATCCACCTTCCCACCTGTCCACCTACCCATCCATCCATCTACCCACCCACCCATCCATCCACCTGCCTATCCATCTGTTTGTCCATCCATCCATCCATCCATCCATCCATCCATCCATCCGTCCATCCGTCCATCCATCTATCCATCTAATGAGTAAAGGCTCTGGCCAGCTCAGTATTACTGCAGCATAGAACTCTGGTCCTAAACCTGAAATTACAGGTTGAAATTATCTGCGGAGCTTTAAAAAGTACTGATTCTTGGGCCGCAGATGGGTGTCTACCCAGAGTTTCTGACTTAATCAGATTGATGTGCAACCTGGCTGAGCATTGGGGTTTTTAGAACTCCCCAATGACAACGGTGAGCACTGGGGTGGATGCCCGCTCATGTAGATGCCCGCTGGTGTAGATGCCTGCTGGTGTAGATGCCTGCTGGTGTAGATGCCCGCTGGTGTAGATGGAGTGTTGGTTTACTCTCCTGACTGCACTGTTTTGCCACAGAGTTCTTTAAAAATGCCTTTTCCTGGCCTTCACTCTCAGAGGTTCTGATCTGATTGGTCTGGAGTGGAGGCCCTGGCCTTGTGGGTTTTAAAACTCCCTGAACTATTCTGATGGGAGGCCAGGGATACGAACCACTGGTGCATGGATGTCCAACCTTTTGGTTTCCCTGGGCCACACTGGAAGAAGAATTGTCTTAGGCCACACATAAAATACACCAACACTGATGATAGCTGATGAGCAAATTAAAAAAAAAAGGTTTCTGCATATTTTTATGAAGCCTGCCACCACAGATAAGTGACAAACGTCCTCACATTCAAAGGGTTGGACACCCATGGGAGAGAAATCTGCAAATCCAGCTTTGACCCTGGGCGCTGTTGTTCAGAGCTGTGTGATCTTGAACACGTGACTTAACTCTCTGAGTGGCTGTTACTCTATTTATAAAATAATAGTGCAAAGAGTTGCCACAGACAGGCCTGGGTAGATGCTGAGTGACTCCTAACACCCCAGTCTCCATTGGGTTTCTCTTGGTACACGTTGGGCTCATCCTGTGTGTGCCAGCCAGTGTGCATGAGCCCTCTGATGCTGGCTCTGAAGCCATGTCCCTGTCCTGTGCACCAGCCCATGTGGCAGCTCTGCTCAGAACCCTCCAGTGGCTGCCCTGCCCTCAGCACAGACTCAGCTCTTCAGACCAATGGGAAAGCTAAGCCTCAGCGGATCCTTGCCACCCCTGCACACCGCAGGCCTCTCCCAAGCCGCTGTGCTCCTCCAGGTGTGATCCACAGACCACAGCTTCGGCCGCACCGGGAGCTGGTTAGAATGCAGAATTCTGTCCTCCACCCCTCCCGAGCAGAATCTGCGCTTCAACAAGACCCCCACTTCCACACAGTTGTTTAAGAACTTCATATGCTTTTTCTCAGTGTATGCACACAGGGTCTTCTTTTTTATCTCAATACTACAAAAAGATAGGCGTGGGAGATATTTTATTCACAGCACACAGATAAGGAGCCCACTCAATTACGCACGTAATATCCCCGTCCTGTCTAATGACGTCGCTGAGCCTGGGCCTGAAGCTTCCTGGCTTGCTGCCCAAGCCCCTTTGAATTGGATTTCAGTTTGATAAGCCTGCTGACTCAATATTAATACTCTGCAAAGGTGAAGAACTTTTCTTCCTTTTTTTTTTTCTTTTGCTGCCAGCAGGATATTGATGCAGAAAAAAGAAAATAGATCGTTAGCTGACTCTGGCCAGAGTATCAGTCAATAACTTCCAAATAGTAAGAAGGAAAGGGATCATCCAGTTTAACAGCATGACGGTCCTTCAGCCAGTGTTTAATGAGCACCTACTATTTGCCACATGCTGTTATGGAAACCATATTGCAGAGGTTAGAAATGCAGACTCGGGGAAGAAACTGGAGCTCCTACTGCAGTCTTGCCATTTGTTAGCTGTGTGATCTTGGGTAGATAATTTAACCTCTCTGTGACTTGGTTTCATTGTCTGTGAAATGGGGACTGGAAGAGCACCTGCTGTCTCACAGGGTAGCTGAGAGTGTTAAAGACTCCGCAGTATGTAGAGTTTTTAGAGCAGAGCCCAGCATGTAGGCAGCAGTCAGCACTTGTCAGTCATTAGAGTCCCACAGGCCACGTGTCAGCAGGAGAAATAGACGATAGCAAATTGTTGTAATGAGGCGTGGGCGGGGCTACAGTCTATGTCTGTACAGAAGAGGAATGGATTCACTGTGCCTGCATATGGGGCATCAGAGGGGAAAAAGATGGCCCCGGTATCTCAGAACACAGAAGAGCTGAAATTCCCAGGGCGGCATTTGGAGCTGGAATGTGCATCTCTGAATATTAAAACTGGAAGAGCCCTTCAAAGGGACCCTGACAGTCATAAGATTCAGTTTCTTGAGACACACAGGAAAAAAACAGCTGCCAAGACAGTTGTGGGGACTGGCTGTTGATAATGATGGAAAGGGCTGACACTCAGGGAGGCTCACTGTGCCGTGGCTGTTGCTCTCAATGCTTTACGAATTCTGACTTACTTAACCCTCATGTCAAATCTGCGCAGCAGGGGTCAGGTGGGGAGCCTGTGCCCAGGTCCTGGGAGCCAAGTCTGAGCCTGGCGCTGTCGAGGACTCAGCCACACTCAGAGCAGGTCGGGGCCCCATCCACCATCCCACGTCCCTCTTCTCGTGCCCCTCTCTCCACTCCATCCTCCCTCTAATATAAACCCATCGATTGCACCACCTCTGCCTACCCCACTGGCCTGTGTTGGGTTCTCAACATCCTCATGTGCTCCTTAGAGGTGGCCACGGCCGCCCTTCCCGCAGCCCACTGGCACCTCCGCTTATCCTCTTGCGCCCTCTAGGGGTCACAGGCTGCTGGAATGAGCCTCAGCTTTCTTGTCTGTCACTGGGGGTCTTCCTGTCCTGATCTTGTGTTGTGGGAACAGAGGCCAGTGCAGCTCAGCACACAGCAAGGCCATGGCTGGTCAAGGGGACATGGGTGACTCAGGCCTGGCTTCTGTTCTCAAGGGCTCTCAGACAGGGCTGGGGCTGCCACTCACAATCACCTCGTGGATGGGAGCCCTGAGGCAGTGGAGCCCAGAGCAGGGGACCAGTGAGGGTGGGGATGAGCAGGGAATGGCCACAGAGCCCGAGAGGATGAGAAGGACCTGGCAGGGCAGGGGAGTGAGAGGAGGCAGCGAGGGTATTCCAGGAGGACAGCCCCGCAGGTGCAGAGGCTGGGCAGCCAGGAGCAGGCAGGTGCGTGGGACAAGGCCCGACAGAGCTTCCTGTGCCATGCCTGGGGCACTGGACTTGATCTTGGGGCAGCAACAGGAGGGCAGCACAAGGCTGACAGAACCATCAGCATCTCTGAAAGGTCCCCTGGTCTGCAAGGCGGAGTTGGAGCTTGGCGCAGAGATGGGATGCTGGGGAGCAGGACTGGCCCCTGGCTTCGGCCCGGCACAGAAGTGCCCAGGCCTGAGCTGGGTGTGGCTGGGAGTTGGGGGTGCAGAGTCTGTGCCAGGGAGGCGCCGAAGCCCCCCACCTGCTCCTCCTTTCCCCTTACTCTCATTCCACCAGCAGCTGCTCTTGGGCGTACAGGGCCCTTGGCTGCCTCGGGCTGACATTTTCTCATTTTTCCCGAGAGTCGAGTCCATGAGATGATGAGGTGGGGCCAGGGAGGGCCTGCTGTAGAGTCTGACTGCAGGGAGTCTTGCTGGAAGCCAATCGTCTCCCAGAAAATCTTGGCTGTCCGCAGCAGTCAGGCTCTCTGGGGCTCGAAAGCCAGGGGACAGCTGGTACTTGGCATTTCCTCCTCCGTCCTGGGGGCCACAGTGTCAGATTAGCTGGGGGAGGTGACTGTAAGCAAGGTAGCTTTTTTCCTTGACCATTTGCAAATCTGGATTCCCTCCCAGGAGAGCGGCCCTCTGGGGCGTGCTCACTGGGGATGAACTGCCATGTGTTACCCAGCGCCAGCCTCCCCACACCCCTAGGAGAGGCATTAATCCCCACCTCAGGGGCAGACCCAGGCCTCAGTCATGAAGGAGAAGGGGAGTTCATTCCTCTGAGCTTCTCTACAGGAAGCTGAACAGTTCCCAGGACGCCCTAACTGTGGTCCTGTGTGTTTCTTCTTGCAGGACGTCCTGGAGAGGACAATGGGGCGGGCGCACATGGCAAAGGTGATCGAGTTGCTGAGGCTGCAGGTCCAGGAGGAGACCAGGTGCCGGCTGGCTGCCATCGCCCATGGCCTGGAGCTGCTGGCTGGTGAGGGGAAGCTGTCTGGGCGGCAGAAGGAGGAGCTGCTCACGCAGCAGCACAAGGACTTCTGGCAGGAGGCAGAGTGCTTCAGCAGGGGTGAGCATGGGCATGGGCCCCGTGGTCCATGATGCAGGGGTGAGCGTGGGCATGGGCACCGTGGTCCATGACGCAGGGGTGAGCCTGGGCACGGGCGCCGTGGTGCACGACGCAGGGGTGAGCATGGGCGTGGGCGCCGTGGTGCATGACGCAGGGGTGAGCATGGGCGTGGGCGCCGTGGTCCACGACACAGAGGTGAGCGTGGGCACGGACACCGTGGTTCACAACGCGGGGGTGAGCATGGGCACGGGCGCCATGGTCCACAATGCAGAGGTGAGCATGGGCATGGGCGCCGTGGTCCACGACGCTGGCCTTCTGGGTCCCTGGGGCTATGCGGGGTGGGCTGAAAGCCTAGAGCAGTCTACTTCTGCCCTAGGGACTGGGTCACTGGACTGCCCTCTGGGCCTCTCTTCCCTTCTCCGTGCTGCAGAGTCCATGAGGGCCACTGCCCAGGGCGGGGGTCAGCTGCTGCACTCACTCACCAGGGATTCAGGCTGACTGAGTCCCCGTGTCCTGCAGCAAAGGCACCAGGACCTGCAGAGGGACAGAGGAGGGTGGAGGGTCTCACACCAGAAACTTACAGAGTGGCCTGTGTCACCCAGCGGCAGCTCATGGTCCTGCCAGAGTCACGTGAGCCTGCTCAGCGGCAGGGTGGGCGAGGGTGAGCCAGGTCCAACGTGGGGGGCAGGAAGGGGAGCCCGGTGTGGCTGAGCTGCACGTGTGTCCCACGCATGCTCCTGCCCCAAGGCTGGCCCTAGGATGCTGGTGGGGCAAGGCTGGAGACATAGAGGCATCTGGACATAGCTGAGGTCACACTACTAGAGGGACCCCCAGAAAGAAACCCAGGTGTGTCACCGACAGGGCGGGTGCCATCTCTGCAGCCAACACCAGCTTCCCCAGCCTCTGGACAGGAGAAAGCATGCGGATCCCCACAGAAAGTCCGGCTCAAACTCTCACCTGTGCTGTGGCTTTTTTCAATCCCAGAGTTTGTCCAACGAGGCAAAGACCTGGTCAAGGCGTCTCTGGCTCACCAGGTGGAGGGGACGGCAAAACTCACACTGGCCCAAGAGGAAGAACGGACACGCTTCCTGGCTGAGGCCCAGCCGACTGCTGACCCGGAGAAGTTTCTTAAGGTGACTCACACCCCCAGCCCCACACATGGGGTGAGAGGTGGTAGCTGTATTCCCCTGACTGAGCATGGGAAGCCCGAGGTCTTCATCAGATGTCAGGTTATCTCCCTACTTCCCATGTGACAGCCGAGTGACCTAATATGTCCCTTAGCCCCTGCGCCCCTAGTGTCCTAGTGGACTGTAAGCCAGTGCTGAGAGTCGTGCCGCTGTCGCTGGGCTGCTGAGATGAGGAGGGTGGGGCCTGTGGAGAGCTTGGCAGGGTGCAAACACGTAGCGGGGCGCACAGATGGTGACGATGGCCTGAAGCGAGAAATGTATGGACCAGAGGGGACAAGCGTGTCCTGGAGAGTAAGGCAGGCTCACACACCCAGGGAAAGGGCCTCGTGTATAGGCTGCAAGTCCAGGAGAAGGAAGGGAGCTCCCAGCCTTGTGTGTGGGGTTGAGTGGGCAGGGCCAGGAGGTGGCCAAGCTCAAAGGTACCCTTGGTTTTCCCTGAGAAGGGGACAAGAAACCTGAAGGAGGACAGAAAGCAAGATGTCGCCCTCCACGGAACAGGAGTCAGCTGGCCCCAGTGCAGGCACCAAGGACCTGGGCTGGCCAGTTCTCAGAGAGACTGCCCAGCTCTGGTTTCACTCTGCTTGCTTTCCCTGGTAATGGGCAGTGGGGCTGGGGGAGGGCCAGCTTGTCTGCGACCATCTTGCATGCTGGTTAAGTACTAGGCGCTGAGGCCGGCCACACCTGGGTGACGTTCAGCACATTGCTCACCCTCTGGCCCTCAGCTTCCACATCTGTGAAATGGGCATAATGGCACCTGTAACACAGCATTATTAAGATTCAGTGAGACAGGAAGGGGCAGCCCCACCTCACTGTTTGCCCAGGTCCACCTGCCCTGCATCAGCACGTGGTACGGGGCATCTCAGCTCTGCCAAGGGGTAGGTGGTACCATGTCTGGGTCCAGGCTCAGCCCAGAATAGAGGCCTAGGGGCACTCTCGGGGGCCAACCTGGTGGTGGTGGCACCACTTCTTGAGAAGCCAATGGAGGGGTCCCTGAGAACAGAGGAGAGGCCTCTCGGTCCCTGGTCCAGCTGCCTCCCTCACCCAGGGAGCCTCTTCCAGAACTACACTGGGAGCTTCTGGGTTTGCCACAAAGGGGTAGGGTGGGTGTTTCTGTCTTTGAGAAGACACATTTGAAATAAGAGGAAGGTAAGTCTATTCAGTTCCTTGTCACTTAGAGATTTTGGGGCCACTGTCCATGATGCCACAAAGCCCAGTGTGAGTCCAGAGTGTGGAGACAGTCCCTGGGTGCCCTCGGTGTCCCAGGGCCTCGGCACAGGCCTCGGCGCTGGCATTCAGGACACATGGGATGCAGGCAGGGAAGGGTGAATGCATGCATGAAATTGGCAAATTGAGTGACTGAAAGAAAGACGGAACGGATGGGAGAATGTATGAACAACACCCGGCTCCCAGCACACGCTCGGCACCCGCCGGGTTCCAGTCCGCCCTTCTCTCTCATCCCACCTCCTGCCCGTACCATCCCCACAGGTCCTAGGGGTCTTACCTCTTGGCCTCTGCTGCTGCTCCCTGAGCCTGGCTCCCCATCTTCCCTCAGGGAGCCCTTCCTTGTCCTTAGAGACTCCACTGCAACTTCTCCCCAAGGAATTTTCTCCTGCAGCCCTTCCCTGAGAAGGGTCTGTTCCTCTGTCCGTCCACCCTGTCTCACCCCTCTGCTGGTGCTGAGGCCTCTGATGCTCTGCCTAGGGCTGGCTGGGTCTCCCTCTGCTGATGCCGGAGCCTGCTTAGGGCTAGCCGGGTCTCTCTGCTGATGACAGAACCTCTGATGATCTGCTTAGGGCTAGCTGGGTCTCTCTGCTGATGCCGGGGCCTCTGATGGTCTGCTTAGGGCTAGCCGGGTCTCTGTGCTGATGCCGGAGCCTCTGATGGTCTGCTTAGGGCTAGCCGGGTCTCTGTACTGATGCTGGAGCCTCTGATGGTCTGCTTAGGGCTAGCGGGGTCTCTCTCTGCTGATGCCGGAGCCTCTGATGATCTGCTTAGGGCTAGCCGGGTCTCTGTGCTGATGCTGGAGCCTCTGATGATCTGCTTAGGGCTAGCCGGGTCTCTCTCTGCTGATGCCGGAGCCTCTGATGGTCTGCTTAGGGCTAGCCGGGTCTCTGTGCTGATGCCAGAGCCTCTGATGGTCTGCTTAGGGCTAGCCAGGTCTCTCTGCGGATGCCAGAGCCTCTGATGGTCTGCTTAGGGCTAGCCGGGTCTTTCTGCTGATGCCGGAGCCTCTGATGGTCTGCTTAGGGCTAGCCGGGTCTCTGTGCTGATGCCGGGGCCTCTGATGGTCTGCTTAGGGCTAGCCGGGTCTCTCTCTGCTGATGCCGGAGCCTCTGATGGTCTGCTTAGGGCTAGCCAGGTCTCTGTGCTGATGCCGGGGCCTCTGATGGTCTGCTTAGGGCTAGCCGGGTCTCTGTGCTGATGACAGAGCCTCTGATGGTCTGCTTAGGGCTAGCCGGGTCTCTCTGCTGATGCCAGAGCGTCTGACGGTCTGCTTAGGGCTAGCGGGGTCTCTCTCTGCTGATGCTGGAGCCTCTGATGGTCTGCTTAGGGCTAGCCGCATCTCTCTCTGCTGACGCCTGGGGCTGGCCCCAGTGTCCTGCTGCTCTGTGGGGGTCCTCAGGGAAGGGCTTCCACTATGTGGTCAGAGTGGGGCTGGCTGGTTGCCGACTGCACTGACCTCCAGTTGCCCATCTGCATCACCCCTGCTGGCTCCCATCGGTGAGTCTCCTGTGGCCTGGGTGGTGGTCCCCAGCAGCAGAAGTCAGAAAGTGATGCCTGGGTGGCTGTAGCCAGGACAAAAGGGTGACAGAGGTAGCCCAGTGGGCCCTCCTCATCCTGGGTTTAACAGAAGTGTGGTTTGTGGTATTTCCTGGCAATTGGATTTGCTGGCCCTAGCGTCAGCTGTGCAAGCCATGTGGCAGCCCCATGCCTCAATTTCCTTGTGTGTAATACAGGGGCCAACATCCTTCTCTCTGATCAGAGATGCAGGGGATGGTTCTGGAAAAAAAAAAAAACCCTGCATGTTTCTACCAGACTCAGTTCTTGCTTTCCTCACAGGCTTTCCATGAGGTCCTGGAAAGGCAGAGGCTGCTGCGGTGCCACCTGGAGGAAGAGGAGAATGTGAGAGCCACCGAGGCGGTGGTCGCACTCTGCCAGGTATGTGGCCTCTGCGGGGACTGGCAGAGAAGCCCCAGGGTCTGTGTGTGTGCGAGAACCCCACATCCTCCTGGCCGGGGATCCCAGAGGTGGTTCGGGTCCAACCCTGGCACTCGTTGGCCAGTGATTCAGGCAGACCATGTCCCCTCCATGGGGTCTTCCTTGTCCACATCAGAAACTGAGGCGGTTTGCCTCTGGCCTCTCGGAGGCCCCGTCCATTTCTGGGGTGCTGAGGGCTCTTATCTCCAAGCGTCCCTGTCAGCAAAGCTCTTTGGAAATCAGTTCTCCCCAGGTGAGAAACAGACCCAGGGTATTTGGGTGTCGTCAGTGTAGAGTGACAGAGGAGGGGTGCTGGGCTGAAATGGGGAAGGCTGAGGTCACCTGCCAGCACCGCCTCGTTCTCTCTGTGCAGCCCTGTGCAGGTCTAGGGTGTGGAGGGGAAGCCTGCTGTGCTTGACCCGCAAGCTGGCTTTGAGAGCGGAGGAGAGAGCGCCCGAGCCCTCCTTAGGGGCAGGAGTCACAGGATGCCATGCTGAGCCAGAACTCCCACCTCAGGCAGCATCCTCGGCGTGGGAAAGGCAGGAGTGTGGACACCTGCCTATGAAGGAATCAACAAGTGGGTGCTGGGCAGCACCGGCAAGAGGAGACGGCCTGGGTCTGTGGCCTGGCTCCCCTCTTCCTCTCTGCATGGCCATAGGAGCGTCACCTGGTCTCTAGCTCTCAGTTTCCCCATCTGTGAAATGGGGACAGTCATCGTTCTTCATGGTGGTGCTGGGACGATTGACCACGTATGGGACCCTGAGACAGCAGCTGGCACTCAGGATGCCCCAGGGCACTTTGTCTCCGGTGGCAGCTTCCCTGCTTCTGAGTACAGAGGAGAGGCCAGGGGCTCCCCAGTGAAGGTGAGGTCAAGGGCAGCAGGCTGCAGGAGGCGATGCTGAGCCAAGCGTTGGATGAGACCAGGCCCAAGTGGAAATGAGTCACCGGCATCCCTGGCCAGGAGAAGCCCATGCAGTGGTGGGAATTGCAGCTCCTCATCCAGTGGGAGCTGCACTGGGGTCAATCGTGTCCGTGTTAACCTGCCAGGGCTACTGTGTTGCATACCACTGACTGGTGGATTAAACAACAGACGTGTGTTCTCTAATGGTTCTGGAGGCTGAAGCCCAAGACCACGGTGCCAGCAGGGCTGACTTCTGGTGAGGCCTCTCTTCCAGGCTTGCAGACAGCTGCCTTCCTGTTGCCTCCTCACATGGTCACTTCTCTGTTCTTAGAAGAGTGGAGGGCAGGGGAGAGAGTGAAAGAGAGAGCTCTGGTCTCTCCCTTCTCTTATAAGGACACCAGTTCTTTGGGATTAGGGCCCCACCCTGATGGCCTTGTCTAACTTTAATTACCTTCTTAAAGGCCCTGTCTCCAGATACAGTCACATTGGATATTGGAGGTTAGGGCTTCAACATAAAAATTTGGAAGGAGGACACAATTTAGTCCCAACAGTGTCTGTCAAAATGTCATGTCCATCTGGAACCTCAGGATGTGGCCACACTTGGACATAAGGGCTTTGCGGATGTAAATGGTTAAGGTCGCACAGTTGGTTAGGTCCTGCTGGATTCGGGTGGACCCTAATTCAAATGGTGGGTGTCCTTATAAGCAGGCCATGAGAAGACACACAGACGCAGGGAAGGAGGCTGTGTGAAGACAGCAGGGAGATTGGAGGGGTGCGGCTGTAAGCCGAGGATCACCTGTGCCCACAGAAGCCAGAGGAGGCCAGGAAGGGGCTCCCAGAGCCTTCGGAGGGGGCGAAGCTCTGCCAACACCTTGGTTTCATACTAATGCCCTCCAGAACCCTGAGAGAAGAAACTTCATTGTCTTAATGCATGCAGTTTGTGGTGCTTGGTCACAGCGGCCACAGGAAGCTAAAGGGAAACCGACCTTCGTTCAGGGCCAGCCCCTATCTTAAGTGCCTCCAGAGTATTTGATTATTTAATCCTCATGAGATTCTGCATTTCCCTCCCTTCCCAGATGAGGAGTGAACAAGTGTTTTCTCCAGAAATGCGTAGGGTGGGGCTCAATTTGTCAAAGCCCTGGGGCTCGCAGGCAGGAAAGGCATAATTTTGTTTCCAGAAGACTCAAGACTCAAATCCCTGGCTGGGCATGAGGAAACCCAGTTCTAATCCTCCTCTGAGTGCTAACATGCTGTGTGACCTTGGCTGGTTACATAACCTTTCTGTTCTGGCCCATGTATCTTGCTCAAGTTTTATACAGCCAGCAAGCAAGGAAGATGGGATTTGAAAGAAAGCCTTTCTAATGTTAGTGCCGATGTGCTCACCCCAACCATGCTGCTCACTGTGTTGATGGCTGTTGTGAAACCTCAGTTCTTGTCTTCTTAGTTTAAAAGAATTTAAACAAGAGACTCACAGTAAAGGGATGCAGCATAGAGAGATTTATTGCAAAGGAGAAAGAACGTTCTGAAAGTTAGGTGCAGAATAGGCAGGACACCCTGGGAGACGATTCAGAGCAGATGAGACGGCCTCAGCTGTTACCGGGAAACCCCCTTTCTGGGAGTCTGGTAACGATTCGTAAGGGGTGGGAAGAGGTGTTACTAGTAAGCATGTTCTGGGGCCGGGGAGGGGAGTGCTCTGGGTGCCTGTGTGCAGGAGCTGTGCACCCTTGTTCAGACATCACAGGTCTCATTAGCATCTTCAGTCTCCGCCCAAGGGTGTGTTTTTTACTATTATAATGAGCAAAGGGTCAGTCTGAGGACAGATCAAATCAGTGCATCTGCCATCTGCAGGTTGGAGGTAACTGTCCTTGGAAGAGCCAACTACAGTGTGAAAGCTGAGGCTTATTGTGTTGATGATGTGGTCGAAGTCACTTCCTTGACTACCTGTGCTACCTCAAGTGTGGGCTGTGGAGCATAACAGTGAAGCCCAGGCTCTGGAGCCGGACGTCCTGGGTTCAAATCCCAGCCAGGCCACTTACTGCTCCCTGCTGGAGGAGAGCCCCGTCGGCCCTGAGGCCGTGGGGTAGGCATCAGCAGCATTCTCCTCCCTGCCCCCCATGGCAGCTTACTGGATTCTCACCAGGTCCCCTCTAAAGTGGTACTTCTCAAACTTTGCTTTGCATCAGAATGTCATGAAGATTAAGGCAATTGAGGTATAGGTTAGATCACTTGCTCACAATTGCACACCCAGGCTGACAGCCTGAATAAAGCCCCTATCAATGATTGCTGCAAAGCGTAAACCAAGCAATATGTAAATGTAAACCCAGAAAATCTGAGACAGCCTCAGTTAATTTAGAAAGTTTATTTTGCTAAGGTTGTGACACAGCCTCAGGGGGTCCTGACAACATGTGCCCGGTGGTCCCGGCACAGCCTGGTTTTATACATTTTAGGGAGACAGGAGACATCAATCAGTATACGTACGAAGTACGTTGGTTCTGTCTGGAAAGGCGGGACAACTTGAAGCAAAGGCAGTGAGGCTCAAAGCAGGGAGGGGACTTCCAAATCACAGGTAGGCAAGAGACAACAGTTGCATTCTTTTGAGTGTCTGATTATTCTTTCCAAAGGAGGCAATTGGATATGCATTTATCTCAGTGAGCAGAGAAATAACTTTGAATAGAATGGTTTTCAGCTTGAGTTCTCCATTTTGCTTAGTGATTTTGGGGGCCCAAGGTATTTTCCTTTCCCAATAGCAAAGTGGCTGGCCAGCCCCAGTGGGTGCTGGTAAATACATCAGTTTCAATAAAGGTTTGTCAGTGATGCTGAAATGATATCCGTAGGAAGTTATGCATTTGGTTTTTCCCTGTGTGGGCCTAGTTGCCGGGCCTATGAGAGCTTCAGCTAAGAAAGTGGAGACAGTCTTTTAATCTAACATCAGGAGAGGGTGACAGGTGTGAGGAGGGTGATACCTGCTGGAGTCTTTCTTTTAGGAGGAGGCATATGAAATGTACTGCATAAGAAGGTGTCCAGCGGCACAGTGGAGGTGGGCGTGAAATTCTCCACATCTGCGTGGGGGTTTTCGTTTGCTTGTTTTTGAGACAGAGTTTTGCTCTTATTGCCCAGGCTGGAGTGCAATGGTGCCATCTTGGCTCATCACAACCTCTGCCTCACGGGTTCAAGCAATTCTCCTGCCTCAGCCTCCCGAGTAGCTGGGATTACAGGCATGCGCCACCACGCCCAGCTAATTTTATATTTTTAGCAGAGACCAGGTTTTCACCATGTTGGTCAGGCTGGTCTCGAACTCCGGTGATCTGCCCACCTTGGCCTCCCAAAGGGCTGGGATTACAGGCATGAGCCACCTCATGCAGCCTCGCACGGGCATTTTTAAGGCACGTGGCCCATGGCCTGTGTCACCTTGTCTCCCAGAATCAGGCCAGAGGGGTTTCCTTAGATTTACTTTGCCATTTCATCACAAGCCTTTAGGTTCCAGGTCGCTTGGTTTATTTTACATTTCCTCAGTTTGGAAATTGTCGCCTCTGGTTACTGGAAACTGCTTTACCTGGTATTCCATAGGAGCAAGCTAAAATCCTCCATGGCTGATTGGAGAGCTGGCTGTGCCCACCTGGCTGGGTGTCCTTGGGCCAGAGCCTGGACTGCTGTGAGCTCTGCTTTCCTTCTCTGTGCAGTGGAGGCTGGGAGCCCATTTCCTTAATGGCTGGGGCTGCCGAGGAGGGCAGGTCCAAGGCCTGTGCCTGGCACAATGGTAGGTGCTCAGCGAATGCCTTCTACCTGCCCCACAGGGAGCACAATCTCAGGAGGTGTCGGGCACAGTGTGGATGAGCCCAGATCTGGGTCCAGGGTCCTGGGTGTGAATCTCAACCACCAAAAGGAATGACTGAGGCAGGTGCCGCAATCAATCAATATTTATTGAGCCAGCCTGAGGGTGCACCTGGGCAAACGCAAGTCACAGACTTGGCTGTTTTTTTTCCAAAGAGGTCCTCAGGAGGTTTAGTACTTGTACATTTTCCTTTAGAAAAGGGAGGGGAGGTGGGGGTAGGGCAGCAAT